GGTCAGGGGACGTTGTTTGGGTTCTTGGGTTTAGGATTTGTTGGGACTTCGGGTAGGGCTTGATCATGAGGGCCTGAGGCTTATTTGGGTCAAAAAGTTGCAGTTCGTATGGGCTTCTGGTGGGAAAGGTGAGCAAGCCACACTGCCTTGACATCGAACAGCAAGAGGGCTGTAAGCTGAGAGTGAGAAAAGAAGCTCTGTAGTTCGGAAGAATTATGATGGTGAGCATTGTCATGAATGCAGAATACACTCTATATATATATATATATATATACATATACTATGACCATGATCACCAGCCTCTTCTTAGTAGTAGCATTAAGTCAGCCTGCAGTGGTCGGTCCGAGTTTTTGCTGGAGTGGCAGCTCCTGTTTTCGACTGGAAAGTGCAAGGAACTCAATACCTACGAGACGACGGAATGGGGTTTTAGGGTTTAGGGTTTAGGGTTTGCATCAAACTCGTCATACCGTCACGCTTCGTGGATATACTATCTAAGCCCGGGGCCCTTAAACACTGAACCGTCAGCGAAAGCTTTAAACCCTGCGAAACCCCAGCCATCAAGCGTCCGTGGAGCCATACGCTTGGAAACTCCATTGCTCTTCAGGCAGCGACAGACCTCACCAGCTGGACGCTGGGAGGCGCCAGACCCGGCTGGTCGTGGGTGCAGAGGGTTCCCGGGTTCCCCAGAGACCCCCAATCAGAAAAGACCCTTCAATCAATATGTACGACCGCTAACTAACATATATTGATGCGTTTATTTCTTAATTAATTTGGCCTTTGGGTGTCTCGAAGTCAAAACCAGGGGTTCCTTGTCTAGCGTCTGTATGATTAAAGGAAAAGTCTGTATGAAGGACCCTGCCGTTGTTAGTTAGGGTCTACGCGGGAGTATGAGACTCTTCTAGGAGTCCTTGTCAAGGAAGGGCCGCTGGTGGTGCATCATCGGGGTCGTTCGTTTGACCCATGAATCCAGCAACACTTGCAGAGTTCGGCTTGCGCTCCCAACCGGAAGCCGAGGCTCCAAAGATCTCAAAGCCTTTCGCTCACAAGCACTCAGTAAACGGCCTGCGGTCGTCATGGCCACTTTCCGAGGTCACTTTGCCAAATTCTGCCTCCCCGATGCAGACGAGGCTCTCAATGGCCAGGGCAGGGCATTCAGGGTTGGAGCGAATTGCTGGTGAGAGGTGGGGACCCACCATCAGACATTTGTTACGTGCAGGATGTCTGCGTGTCACAGCAATCGACTACCCATATGCTCCGATATAGGTTAAAATCAATCGATCTATTGATTTTTAAGTCTTTTCAATCTTCTATTGAAGACAGACTTTTCGAGCTGAAAATCAATATCGGCAAAATCAGGATCTATTGATTTTAACACACTTCCGCGATTGATTTTTCTATTGGTTCCACGCTTGATTTTTCTATTGATTTTTATGCTAGCCAAGAAAATTTCTATTGATTTTACAGGCGACCAAAAATGTCCTCTATATATACATATATATGGCAGGTTTATAAGACAAGAAATAGATTCGGTGCCTGGAAAGGCAGGATGTTATTGTTCTGTCTGGAGAGACAAGAAATCTATAGATTCGGTGCCTGGAAAGGCAGGATGTTATTGTTCTGTCTGGAGAGACAAGAAATCTATAGATTCGGTGCCTGGAAAGGCAGGATGTTATTGTTCTGTCTGGAGAGACAAGAAATCTATAGATTCGGTGCCTGGAAAGGCAGGATGTTATTGTTCTGTCTGGAGAGACAAGAAATCTATAGATTCGGTGCCTGGGAAGGCAGGGTGTTATTGTTCTGTCTGGAAAGACAAGAAATCTATAGATTCGGTGCCTGGAAACGCAGAATCAGGATGCAGTGTTTGGAGAAGATGTGAGCTACATGTGTGAAATATATATATATATATATATATACAGAAAGATATATATATATATATATATATATGCTCACACCCCCCCCCAAGACCTACCGCGAGGTGCTTCGGCTAGCAATGGGTAGTAGAACATGTAAGGATTTGAGGAAACCATTAGGATAAAATACACTCATACATAAACAATGGAAACGTATATCGTGTATAATCAATAGCTGAATACACTGTAATGACCTACGACGGCGCGACATCGCCGTTGGCGGATTTGGGCAAGCTTCAATGCCTGCAATTGTTTAATAGGATACTGCCTAAATGTTCCGGATATTCATAACTCTGGTCATATAATGACCATAGGCATAACCCGAAGACAGGACCAAGACAGAACAGTGTCTACATCCTACGTAAGATCGTTAGATGCGCCGGGTAACTTTGTGTTTGTCATTGTCTGTTTTTAATTTTGTTCATGTACTCATAGGCATAACCCAAAGACGGGACCAAAACAGAACGATGTGTGCATCCTACCTAGGATCGTAATGAGGGTTACATGTGCACACATGTTTATTCTGTGTGAAGCTCTTAGGTTACTCATGCGCCAATGTGTATAATAGCTATTACTAGTGCGAATACTAATACTGATACTAAGATTTCTATTCCTACGAATAAGGATATTACTGTTCATAACATAATAGGCTTAATGGTTAATACTAGTATTAAAAATTGCACTACTAATTCGAATAGTAGTGCTGATGGGAATATTAACACTCCTGGGGATACTAATACGCATATTCTTATTAACTGTTCTCAATATGAATACTAATAGTACTAGTTGTTTGGAATACTAATACTTGTCCGAATATTCATACCAATACTCAGGCTACTGCGATTATACATAATAGGACATTAATATGGGTATTCGTATTAAGGTCAGCATTTCCTTCGAAAGTATTCATATGCGCATCATAATTCATCTTAATACTCGTACTGATATGAATTAGTATGATTACAAATACTTTTACGAAGACGGGTACTTTCAGTAATACCGATACTAATATGAATACTAGTGTTCCTACGAATATTAAAAAACATACCCATATTGATAGTAATTTTATTTTTTTATTTGTTACCAATATACACTCAAATGCTAACATTAATACTAATATGCACATAAGTGATACAGTTCCTCCGCAGATTAATGCGCATAGTCTTATTAATTATTCTCAGTATTTATATTCACATTAAAGAACCTACACTAACATGAATAGCAGTATTACCACTTGATACTCCAGATAATACGATTATGCATAGTATGAACAGCGATACTGCTATTGATACCAATATTAATGCTCCTACGAATACTAATAATCACGTTCAAACCAAATACAAAAAACAGACACATCAATGTACCAAAGAATCTGTATTTTCACATACCAATAAATAATATACTCGTATACTACTATTCCAATGTTACCATAGACCATAGACTATGAGACTATACACTGGTTAATATTAACACTAAGAATAAGGCAGAGACTAAGACCAAGACTAATACGAATACTAAAACTCACACTAGACATTAACACTACCATTAGTACACCTATTGTATAGACTTATATTCAGACTAATACTAACGCTGACATTGGAATCGACATTGACACTGACACCAACACTAACAGTAACACGAATCAACACGCTAGAACGCAGATACTAATACTAACACTAATGCCTAATGCACATCTGAAGACTACTGCGCGTAAACAACGAAACCATTTCGGATCAAGCATGCTGCGCGCTGTATTGGCTCTAAGGCTCCGAGAACCAAAAATCCAAAAAACCAAAAAACCAAAAATCCAAAACCTTTGTCAGGGGGGTCGAAACTTTTGGATTTTTTGGTTTTCCTAGGGTTTTTTTGGTTTTCCAACAGAAAACCAAAAAAATCCAAGGTTTTTTTGGTTTTCCAGCAGAAATCCAACAAAATCGAAGGTTTTTTTTGGCTTTCCAGCAGAAATCCAAAAAAACACAGGTGTTTTTTGGTTTTTCACGAGAGACACAGCAGAAAAACCAAAAAAACCTTGTGTTTTTTTGGTTTTCCACCGAAAATCCAAAAAAAACCATGGTTTCGCCAAGGCAAAGCCCAAAAAACCAAAAAAGACCTAGGAAAACCAAAAAATCCAAAAGTTTCGGGCCCCTCAGAAAGGCTTTGGATTTTTGGATTTTTGGTTTTTTGGTTTCCGTCGTCGTATCGTATGGTTTCTTTTAATGTTTCTTGCTTATGAATACAGGCATATGAATTTGAAAGCGGACATGAGTAGGCACGACGTTGTAAAGAGACATGACTTCACATCAGCCATGATAGAGAAGGTATCATCCCCGAAAATTACGCAAAACACGAATCGTATGCCAAACGCGAATCCCTGCCAAGAGAAGGTTTTGACGGTATTTACAATGGAAAAGAGGCCGAGGTAGGTCATGGGGGGGGGTGTGTCCATATATATATATATATATATATATATATAGGCTCAAGCTCTAGCACCTCGGCACGAAAGCTCGCCATGGAGACTCCTCCGAAGAACAAGAAGCGAGGAGCACAGGAGCTCGAGACGCCCCCTGCTGCCGAGAGAAAGAAGGCCAGGGCTCGAGCTTTGCAGATCGCGAATCTGCGAACTTCCGTGCAGTTCGCAACGGACTTGGCCGCCGTGTTGTCGCAGCTGGCACCGCCGATCCAGAACCCGGACGAGATGGAGACCGACGTGGAGGCTGAAACCGAGGTGATGGGAGGCCTGGATGTGCTGGACCAGAACGAAGAGCCGGAGAACAGCCAAGAGCCAGAGAACAGCCAGTGAGGGTGCAGAGCTTTGAAAGTTTTGTTGTCTAGAAGCAATCGGGTGCCAAGAGAGCCTCGATGCATGGTGATAGAAGCTCAAATGTAAAAACATTATTTGCACATGTCTGCAGCTGTGTGGCTTTCGTGTCTGGAAAGGATCAGTATGTTGACGACAGAAAGAATGTCTGGACAGACACGAGTTGCACAGCAATGAAAGCATGTAAATGGACCCGCCTGCAAGTTTTTGAAGCTCGGAGAAAAGTAGAGTAGAGGCGCCCTCTACACTCTAGACCCTAGGACTTCTAAGCCATGGGCAAGGGAGGCGCCAGAAGACCGGCGACCCCGGAGATCGATCTGGACCACCTCTACGACGTGCTGGCGAAGGTCGTGAGGGAGCAGGAGCACCTGAGCTTCCACGGGTACCAGACACTGCGGCGAACCCAGGCATGCAGTGGTGCAGACATGGCCCAGCTGGAGAGCCTCCTCGAAGCCTTGGTGAACTGCCAGCCGCTCTTGATCTTCAAGTACGGAGATCTCAAGGCCACGTACCAGAAGCTCCTCCAGAACTTCCCGGTGCTGAAGAGCTCCCACCCTGTGGCAGTGGCGCCGCACTTGGCTGGGAAGTACGCCGAATGGACCATGACGCTTTGCAGCCATGCCAGGAGGTTGCGAGATGAGAAGCGGTTCCAGGAGGCCTCGAAGAACTTGACGCAGTCGCAGGTGCAGAAGCTGACGTCGATCAAGCAGATGATTGAAAACGGTGCCCTCGAGTACGGCGAGTACGAGGACAAGAAGTACACCGTGAAGTCTGGCAACAAGAAGCTGAAGAAGGTCAAGAAGGTCTTGAAGAAAGAGAAAGCAAAAAAACGAGCACAGGGATCCTCAGAGGACACGAAGGTGAAGAAAAAGAAGAAGGCCACATCTTCGGATGAGGAGACTCTGCAGAAGCTTGCTGCTGCAGCGGACATGGCCTCGGACGACAGCATGGACACAGAGGAGCTCCTGGACTTGGAGGTGCCGCTCACCCCGAAGAAGGGCAAGAAGAAGGACAAGCTCAGAGAAGAGGCAGAAGCTGTGTCGCCTATCCCTTCGAGAAAGAAAAGTATCAAAACGCTGGTGAAGCAAGACAAAAAGAAGTGCAAAGACGAGACGGAGGAGAAGGCAAAGCAGAAAGAAAAGAAAGTCTTGAAGAAGCCCGCCGCCGCAAGAAAGATGCCGCCGAGAATCCTCTCCGGAGTCTTCAAGGATGTGATCCTCATGGCTTACAAGGAAGGTCGCTGGGCAGTCCGTGTCAGAGGAGGGCGACAGCTGTTTCAGATCTCCAAGTTCTCCGAAGCGAAGAACAAGATCCAGGCGACCAAGCTCATCAAGATGCCCCAGGCTGGCACGGACTTGAAGGAGGTGCTGGCGGCCAAAGCGAAGTTGTAGGACGCTGATTGCTGCGGTGTGAAAAGAGAGGTTTTGGTGCAGTGCTGTGGCAGTGGTTGGTTCTTTTTCATAGGTTTGATTTGATTGCTGTGATGTCTGGACAGACACTTCGAGTTTCATTGTCTGGACAGACACTTCAAGTTTCAGTGTCTGGACAGACACTTCAAGTTCCAATATCTGGACAGACACTTTCAAGTTGTAGTGTCTGGACAGACACTTTCAAGTTTCAGTGTCTGGAGAGACACTTTCAAGTTTCAGTGTCTGTGCGAGATTTTTGTAGGCTACACTAGGAAACCTAGGTAAGTAGCTGTACAGTGTAGAGAGAAGAGGGTTTGAACGTGACTGCGACTCACCGCAGCCCTCTTTGCAGAGTGTAGAAAAAGAGCCCAATACGCGACCCAACCTCCGCGCATGGTAGCGGAGCTGGTTCGGTAGGCCCCGACGCTCCTTGGGTGCGCGGGCCGAACCGCCACCCAAGGAAGAGCCGGCAGAGCGGGTTGCCCCGCCTGCCTCCAAGAGCAGGAGCAAGCAGCCCCCGGGCGAGTGGACCCACGAGTCGAAGGCCCTACCAAAAGGCGCTCTGGCAGCGAAGGCCCCAACGGTAAAGGCGCCGCCGCGTTGCCTTGGGCCACCGCCTCCGCTGAGGGAGGAACCTAAGGCCGCACAGCCAGGGCCAGCAGAGCCCGAGGCTGCGGTACCTCCCGAGCTCCGGAGCAGGAGCAAGAGCCCACCTCGGACTCAGGCACGCGGCTCGCAACAGGCCAGCGACTCCTTGGGAAGGCAACCCAAGGCTGGCGGAGCAGTACGGAGAAGCCCTGATCTTGCTGGACGAGATCAGCCAGGCCATCTTCGACACCTCAAGCGGCTTATCCGCCCCCTCGCAGGGCGACCCCGTGGTCGAGGCCCTGTGCGGGGAAGTCGCAACTCTTAGGGGGTTGTTGGAGAGCCAAGCGCAGCAGCTGCAGGCTGCGATTGGCGAGCTGTCGGCCCAGAGACAACAGGGCCTAGCTGCAGCAGCCGCCACGGTGGCAGCCGCTACGGCGGCACCCGCTGCGCCCGCGCAGGCGAGCGGTGGAGGGCACTTGCTAAAGAGCATGCGGCTCCCGACCTCCCTTAAGGGGCGAGACGACTGGGAGCGCTTTGCCTTTCAGGCAGAGTCCTACCTGGCGGTCGTGGACACCAGGTATCCAGCAGAGCTGGAAATAGCTCGAAAGTGCAAGGTGCCACTCCAAACGGCAGCCATGACCGAGGAAGTGCGGACCCTCAGCGTCCGCCTCTTCGGCATGCTGGACCCAGGACTCCGCCACAGCTGTAAAGCTGGCGCGCGGAGTGAAGGGCCAGAATGGGTTCGAGCTCTGGCGTCTCCTGTGGCAGGAGCACAATCCAGAGAACGAGTCCAAGAACCTCACCTGGAGGCGGACCCTGCTGATGCCGAAGTTCCCGCCAAAGGAGAGTGACTTCTCTTTGGCTCTGCAGGAATGGGAGGCAGATGTGGACCGCTATGCCTCCGAGTATGGCGCAGGGCGCGCCCTAGCAGACGAAGATCTGCGGGCAGTGCTGGTGACCGAGAGCCCCAACGCTCTTCGGCAACACCTCGCTATGCACGCGGCGAGTCTTTCGACTTATGCCGAGGTGAGGGAAGTAGTGGTGAGCTACTTGCAAGCCAAAAGGGTCTGGACCCCGAGTGCGGGCTACGCCGCCTCTTCCCGAAGGGACCCTAACGCCATGGACATTGGCAGAATAGGGGACCGAGACGGAAAAGAAGGGAAGGGCAAAGGCGACAAAGGCAAGAAAGGGGACAAGGACCACAAAAAAGGCAAGGGCGACCACGACCACAAAGGCAAGAAAGGGGACAAAAAGGGGAACCAGCAAGGAGGCAGAGACGGCAAAGAGAGATGCCCCATCTGCTGGAAAACGGGGCACACCGTGAAAGAGTGCTGGTTCAACGCCAAGGGAAAAGGCAAAGGCAACAAAGGCCAGGTGGCCCAGGTGGCCGACGACGCGGCCACGACGGTGTCAACAGCCTCCTTGGCGACTGCGGGTCCCGGAGGAAGCACTGGCGGGTCTGGCGGCAAAGGCCAGGTACGCCAGGTGCGCGACGACCGCATCTTAGGTGTGCGGTTTGCCCCGCCTCACGACACCGAGCCAAAAGAGGAAAAGATCCTCAAGGTGTCGGGGAGTCTTCTTGTGGACTCCGGGGCGTGTGTGTCCGTCTGCAGGCCCGAGGCGTTTCCCGACCTGCAGCCCGCGGGCCCACCAAAAAGCCTTTACTTGAAGGGGCGGGGTGTTTAGTAATCGAATACATGGTTTAGGAGATTTAGACAATCAGGTTAAGTTGAGTTACAAGTTCGTTAACATGAGTTATAAGTGCTGTATATATACTATGTTGTATGGACAACTTAGCAAGTCCGAGGCTTGAATTAAGAAGTGGAGCAAGCAGTTGAGTCACTTAGCCAAAAGCAGGGTGGAACTTATAAGTAAGATAGAACAAGTCTTTTAAGCAACTTGCCAAACTTAGATAACTTTGTGTAACTGATTTAGGTAAGTGGTGTAAGTTGTTTATTTGAAGTTGTTTTCCTGGCATTTGCAAAGCTTCAAACGGAAGCTTGCATGGAGATCTCCTGCCGCATGTATTCAGGATGCAATTGAAAATTGCATGGAAAGCTGCTGCATTGCATGTGTTGAGGACATGCTCGCATGCTTGCCTTCTGTGTATTGTGCATGACTCCATGCATTGCAGCCATCTATCGCCATTGCAGGGCCCTTGGCTCGCAGGCAGATTTTCAGCTCCGTCCTCCATCTCGCTTGCCCATCATGCCTTTGCAGTCGGATGTGCGAGAGCGGCTGCAGGCTTTCCTTCGAGAAGCCTCGGATGGCGACGGCCTTGTCCGAATCGTGGAGAACTGCTTGAACTACTTGAAGTCCAAGCATCTCTTGACCTCCATGAAGTTGGAGGCGAGCCTTGTGGGGATCCATCCCTGCAACCGGGATGGGTACGGAGTGAATCCACAAGACGTTCGTGATCTTGTGGACTCGATTGTCGATGTGGGCTATGTCCCCACACGTGTGCATGCGGTCGGTGTCGAAGTCGAAGGAGACTGGGTCCGGCAGTGGAACAAGAAGCTGTTCGAGTCAGCCCACGGTCTTCTCGGAAGCCTTGAGCCGGAAGCGATCAAGATCACTTCGATCTGCGGATCACATACCAATTGCGCTTTGCGACTTTTTCAACAAGGTGCAAGCCACGGCAACGAGGTCGTGAGTGTGGGTGGAAAGCTCAGCATGGAGCTTCTTCGTGCTCGGGATGCTTCGTTCCACGAAGCAGCTGATCAAGGCCTGACGTGGGACGTGATCTCCTCCTCCGTGGCGGAAGAGTTCCCAGAGCTGATCAGCTTGATATCCCGGTCAGGCAACACATCGCTTCAACGAGGAGAACATGAGCTACAAGTACTCCGTCGCATCCATTCCACGTACTACCGCTTGCAGACTCAGACTGGCCAAGCACCGGTTTTTGCATCTCTGAAGAAGTTGATATTGGCCAGCAAACCAAGCTGCCATGCCTCCGTACCCCACATGTTTACGTTTTGTCTGAAGGCTTCCGGGGGTGCCGATGCGAGCTTCCTTCAGGAGACGGAGTCCTTTGCGCGGGCTTACTGCCCTTCTTCTCGGCAATTGGGGCCTGTCCTGTGGGAGGCTTTCGGGCAAGATTGCCGAGGGCACCAGTCAGATCCCGTTGCAGCATTTCGCCATGCACTCATGAAGCAGGCATACTTGAGGCAGAATGTGACCATTGCTGATGTGAAGAAGATGACTTCTAAAGAACTCTTCCCCAAGGTCAAGGAAGCTGACAACATGATCCTCACGGTCAGGGGCATCTTAAGGGATGGAGCTCGCGATTTCATGACGGATTCGCGGGTCGTGCAAGCTCTGGCCACTATGGATATGACGATAGCATCGCACGTCCTCGGCATCAAGGTGCCGGACGAGAAAAAGTACAAAACAGTCCAAGCGATTGGGCACGATTTTTTGCTCGTGGCAAGAAACCTGACCGGTGTTGCACTCCCTTTGCCATGGGAGTCGGTGTCTGAGCAAAGTGAACCAGCTGCAACTGCAGCGACTGCTTCCCAGCCTTCTGCTGCAGGTGTGATGCTTGAGCTTGCTGAAGACGGCAGTATCAAGGAACCTGAGAAGATATTGGCCTCCAAGGGTTTCGCTATGGGTGCACACATCCGTCGCAAGGTTGACAAAATCGAGGGAGTTCTTTCAGAAGTGAAAGGTCAGATGGTCTTTGTGAAGATGGCTTCGGGAAAGACGGCCAAGGTGGATCTCAATGTTATCCTGGCTGGAGATTGGGTCGTGTTTGTTCCTCGTGTGCAGCCCACAATGCTAGACAGCTTGGACCAGTACCAGCACCATGTGGATTTTGATGCCAGCATTCTTGCATCGAAGATTCAGCTTGAGCTCTACAAGCTTCACCAGTCCATGGAGTGTGGATCGGAGCACCTGAAATTGCAGCTGAAGCCTTCGAGGATGTTGCTTGCCAACTCGGACATCAAGAAACTCTGCATGGTGCCCATGACCAACAAGGTCGTGCAGAAATCCCAGGGCCAAGGCAACACCATGTTTGAGGTGCAGACGGACTGGCAAGGAGACGACCGCAAGTTTTGGCTTTCCGGAGCCAACATTCTACCCAAAGATAACGACGACGACACTTGCAAACATGTGGTAGTTCCCTTTTGGTTGGTGCAGCACAGCCATCAGGAAGAGGATTGCAATGTGAAGCTTGTTTGGATTGCGGGAACAGAGAAGAGCATCAAGATTCCGGTTTTTAAGAACACCAAGAAGATCCCGGAAGGCAGCCCCATTGTGGCTTTCAGATCTAAAACGGTGCAGGTGGCTCCCTTGGAGGAAGTGGAGGACGACCACAAGACTTCGGCGCAGAAAAGAGCATCGGCGAGCTCAGGTGGCTCCAGCAAGAAGGCTCAGAAGAAGTGATGTTTCGGCATCCGTATGCAGTCCAGTGTGCTGCTATACCAGCAGCAGCCATTGCTTGAGCTTGCAGTATCTGAAAGATTCCATTGTATGTATATGTGAGGTCTGTTTCTAATGCATTGCGGAGAAGGATACAATTGTTGCAGGTTGCAAGCATCCGAGGGGCATGGTTTTTATAGAGCGACCATTCATAGAGTGTTCTGTGCAGCTGCATGGTGCGAGGATCCCTCAGGTGTGCGAGCTTGTGCTTTGCGGATGGAAATGCAGTGCAGCTTTATATGCTTCTGTATGCAAGTGCAGGATGCATCGCCCGTGATGAAGTGCAGGTGCATTGTTGAAGTTGCTGCTTGCATGGATGTGTCGTTTTCGCCTAGGCAGGGCATGTGTGCTCGCCGGCAGAAAACAGCTCCAGCCTCGCATCAAACCATTTCCCCCGTGCATCGCATCATCATGGCTTGCTTCGAGATTGTGACGAAACAGGTTGTCGTGCTGGGTGACCGAAGCTGGATGCCAACCCAAAAGAGTGTCGACGACCGGGTCTTCTGTGCTGTCTCGAAATGGTCCCCGCAGCTTGTGAAAATGATCACAGGCAAACGACTGGACTTGCGGTCCGGCCAAGGGGAATCATCGGGGTCGCTGAACATAAAGCTCTTTGACGATTTGATCGAGAAGAGGCAGGCTGCTTGCGACAAGCTGCTGGAAGAGGCCCTGAGGGACGATGAAGCCGACGACGAGCCCAAGAAGAAGAAAAGCAAGAAGGATAAGGTGAAGGCTTTGGCCAAGCATTTGCACGTGTTGCCGGCGATCGTCGACATTACGATCGATGGCTTTCAGCTGTCGATCCTCAGCGAGGGCCTGTCTACCGGGAGCATCTTCGTGGAGATGCTCTCCGAAAATTTCAATTGGCTCATGGAGCAGGCGAATCGACAAATGCCTGTCGATCGGAAGAAAAGAAGGCACAGCTCCCGGGACAAGACCGATGCCAGCGAGGATTCCGACAAGGAGGCCAAGAAGGTTCCAGCGGCGAAAGCCAAGGGCAAGGCCAAGGCAAAAGCTAAGAGCCCGGCCCTGAAGAGCATCCTGAATGGCTCCCCGGCCAAGAACCCGGCCCCGAAGGGCATCGTTGGCTCCCCGGCGAAGGCCAAGAAGTGATTCTGCATGCAGTCTCGCATGTATCTTCCGTGCATCCATGCAATGTGTATACTTGATGTATAGTATGTATCAACACACCGTGAAAAAAAATATATATATATATACATATGTATATATTACTGTCAATGATGCAAACTCACAACGGCTCCACACTTTGATTGCCCGATGCTGTCTTTGGACAGACGACATCGACCGAAGCTCTCTGAACATTGGTGTCGTGTTTCTGCATGCACATTTGCCCTTGTTGCAGTGGGTGCCACGTCTGCGCCATGCTTGCTTTTTCAGCTCTTTTGGCTTGTGAAGCTGCCGTGGTTTTTGGGAGTGATGATGTCCTTTAGCTTCTTGTCGCGAAGCCTTCCCTCCGCTGTGGAGGTGGGGCCCCTGTACAACCACATGCACACACATGCCACCGCCCCAAAAATAACAGGCCGATGTGGTGGAGCGGCTGCAGCTCCACACGGACTTCTCGAAGTCCGGGAGGGGGAAATACAAGAATGATGAAGGCCGGTGCCCCCATGCAAGTGATATGGATATATAGCCTTTCATTTGGTTGCAATTGTTTTGCAGGCACCACGATTTCCTGGTCGGCCAAGATGGGGTGGAAGATCCTGTCTGTTGGAGGCTGCAGTTATATATAGTGTCTGCATGGAATCAAGTGAATTGGCTCGTGCACTCGTGCAGGTGACATGTACTTCAAGCACCCAGACGTGCAGGCCATGAACGTGCCTGCCAGCCCTGGTCCTAGGTGTTTTCTTAATTTGGGTAGAAGAAAACCGTTGTCGCCTAAGGCGGGTGGCTCTACTGGAACGACGATGTGGGAGATTTTAAAGCTTCTGTGATATGCCTGGAAGGCCGGGTATTTGAAGCTCAAGGAGTCCATATGTATATATCCATGTAGTTGCAGCATGCAGGCCACGAGGAGTCGGACACCGTGGAGGTGGACGTCGAGGATCCAGCGGCCGAGCCCAGCATGCCCGACATGTCATTGCAACTGCTTTTGCATGCTGCTCCATCGTACATATCTAGTGTGCCTGCTCGCCAGTTGTGCTGAAGCCGGCGAACAGCAAGAAGCAGCGCCCAGCGGAGCCGAAGGCGAATTTCTTCGTAAGGCGATATAATGTACTTCTTGTTTGATTGCAGGAGCCGCCTCCGAAGAGGTACATGGACCCCGTGCCAAAGACCAAGGACAGCAAGCATATAGCTGTTCACTGTGTATATAATGCATGCTGCATCTGTGGCAGGCTTTGCCCGCGAACTGGGACGAAGGACTTCTTGTGGTTGTCTGGAGCCAGGCTTCTTTGCAAGTGTTTGTTGTCTGGATTGAGGAGATCTGATGCCGGACTCGAAGGGCAAAGGGCACTACGTGAAGCCCAAGGCTTTTTCTTTGGGTCTGGCATGCACGACTGCACTTGTCTCTATACTGATGCAGTCTTCTTGGGCAGGTCGCTTTCATCGACGAGCACGGCCAGGCTTGCCTTGGTCTTTGTGATGGTGCTTCAGGTTTGCCTCTGCTTGCTGCTGGCCCCGTTGCAGGAGTGGGCGGCGGGCATGGGGAGAAAGAGGGCCCGGACACGTGGTGGCCAAGGTGTCCGGGCACTCCAGGCCCAAGGGGCACTGGAGGAATCCCGAAGCCACATGGAGGACCCTTGCTGCTTGCCAATCCACGAGAACAGCAAAGCTGAAGACACCGCGAGCCCCGACATGCAGGACTTGCGGGCCTCCCTCCACACCATGGGGGTCATGGCCGAGACGATGAACCTTCAAGAAAAGCGAGTCCGTTGAGGCCTGTGCTGTGACCGAGTAGCCTTTCTGTCCTGATGGTGTTGAAACTTATAATGCCTGGCAGGATCCCATGGTTCCTGCCTGGCACCCCTGGTTTGTGGCCTGGAGACCAGGGGAGCCGCTAATAGTTGGAAGCTCAGACCGCCTGTGTTGCTCTATATACGGCCTGGCCTGCTTGCTTGGATCCCAAGGTCCTGCATGCTGTGAGCAGCGAAGGACCTGAAATTGGGGGCATTTTCCGGCTCGCCGCTTCGGGCACAGAGGGTCAGGGCTACCAGTCCCGATGGCCGGGGTTTATGCATGCATAAAGCCCCTTAAGCAAAATAGACCGGAACTTTATGCATGCATATGGCTGGGTTCAGTTTCCTAGGGCGGGGCTTATGCATGCATAAACCTCGGCAGGGCCAAGGGCACAAACCTTTATGCATACATAAAGGTTTCGGGTTTTTGGGGTCAGGCCCCTTATGCATGCATAAAGGGTTGCTTTCCCAGTGCCCTCGTGGTTCCCTGTCCTCTGGCCTCTCTAGGCAATAAGTAGGGAAACTATATAGGTAAGAAATAGCTTTGGGCTGCAGAAGACGAATCGGCGAGGGGGCTATCTCCCCCTGTATAGCCGAGGCTTCGGGCTACCGGGGCCTCGTCCTGTGACTGTTTCACGACCACAGACCATATGGGCCAGTTTGAAGAAAAACCGCCCATCCTCCGAGTGTGCACCGTTTGGTCAGGCCCATGAGGCACACAGACCCCCATGGCAACATGTGTGTGTGTGTTTGTGTCTGCGACAAAGAGCAACAAACGAGGAGAGGGAGAGAGGGAGACAGAGACAGAGAACGAGTGAGCGAGGGAAGGTACAAGGGGGTTGGAGGGAGGGGGGGTTGGCTGTGAAGGAAGAGACTGCTACATAGCAAAGTGGCTGCATGGATTTCACTGAAGTACATATACATACACAGTTTTACACACTCTGCATATATACCTATTACATGTGAGATGTGTATCTACCCCACACACACATACATATATATATATATATATATATGTATATATACACGATATGTATATATATATATATATATACATATACAGATACCAAAACATATCGTTCATATATTCTTATATACACATATATATATATATATACATACATATATGTGTATATATATTTATGTGTATATGAAATGGACTGAATCTCTGAACTTACATACACATATATTACACACTTGCATGCCTGCAGGTGTCGGTATACTGTAGTAACATGGCTGTGCTCTTGAGGGTGTCTACGGGTTCTGCTGGCGAGCTCAGAGCCCTGCCTGCGAAACCGAGACCCCTTTGGTGAAGTCTTCCGGTCTGTGACTGCATGCAATGTGAAAGACGTCTCCAGTGGCAGGCTGCATGCTTGTGTGTTGCAAAGCACATGCACTCCATCATCTGCCTGCTGCCCGCTGCTGCTCTATATAGACAGGTGTTCGCAAGCAGGGCTACAGCAGCTCGCTTTGTGCAGAGCATCTGTGCTATATCCGGCCGTGCAATGGCAGCTGCTTTCCTTCGACAGCTGAACCAGCTCCTCCAGACCCAGCAGCCCATCATGGGAGATCAATGGACTTCTCTCTTGGCTGCTCAGAGCGAGGTCGCCATCAGAACGATTCGTCAAAGCCACATCACAGTCGAGGAGGGTGCAGAGATCTGCAGCTTGGTGCAGCAGGGCCTTTGGTCACACGAGCAGAAGCAGGCCCTGGGTGCAGCCGTCTCCCAGACCTTGGCAGGCAGCACTCCAGCAAATGCCAAGGCCAAGAAGAAGAACCAGGAAATTCTCAACTTCTGGGGTTTCTTGGGCGCCGAGGACCGGAGAGTTTTGTCCAGCGACGACACCCTCGTCATGAGGCTGACTCACACTGCTCAGATAATGGCTCGACTGGAGATGTTCTGGCCATCAGAACAGTCTGTGGGACACATCATCAAGACCCTGCAGAGTTGCAACAATACTGGCTTGCAGAGCCCCGACGAGTTCCATTCGGCTGTCGTGTGCCTCAAGAAGAAGGTGAAGACCATGCTCAAAGATGCTTCCTGTGGCGAGTTCGTCGCCAAGTACACTCGGCCTGAGGATCTTCCACCACACACCCGAGATCGCTTCGCAGATGCCTTGGGAGGTGAGCTGCCTGGAACAATGGTGCTGGCCCGTGATGCTCTTCGTGGCAGTAACAAAAGCCTCTCTTTCCACAAGAGCAACACTGCCATGGTGCTGGGTGGTCCAGCAGCAGGCCCGGCAATGCACATGCCCCACACCATGCAGGGTATGATGCAGTTCTGGGGCAGCATGGCAGCTAACATGTTCAACCAGCAGCAGCAATTGGCGAAGAAGAACGATGGATTGCCTGGGTTGAAAATCTTCGGCGACCCAGCTGCTGCCGCCTCGTCTGGGACGATGGCCTCCTCGCCTGCTCAACAGCAGGCCTTGCAGCTTCCTACAGTTACCAATGAACCGGCACAGGGCAGCGGAACAAAGCAGGCCGAGCAACAGGGAGTGCTGGCCAGCAAGGATCCTGTCAGTGCTGCACAACATGCAGATGAAATGCTTCAAGCTTGGAAGGGCGACAACAAAGGGTTCGACAGCACCGTCGAGGCCGAGGCCAAGGAAAACGAGGCGAAGCACAAGGCAAATAAGAAGCCCAAGGCTGCAGCCAAGGCCAAGGGTAAAGCCAAGGCCAAGGCTAAGGCGAAGGCCAAGTGCACGGCCATGAAGTCCCAGCCCAAAGCAAAGTCGCAGCCCAAGGCGAAGGCCAAGGCTGCTTGCAAGGCGAAGGCGAAGTCGCAGCCGAAGAAGGTCCAGAAGGCTTTGCAGAAGTTCACTCGAGAAGAGGTCCGATGCATGACTTTGTCGGCTCGCATCAAGCTGCGACCCAATGGGTGTGGCAAGTGCCGGAACAGGCCCGGCTGCACACCGTCGTGCTTTGGCCCGTGATTGCATCAACAGCTGCTGAAAGCATGCACAGCTGGAGTCCTATATAGGGTGAGAGTTTGGAGGCTACAGGCAGAGTGTATACATCTTAAGTCTATATGCATGTTGACGTGTTTTGGTGTCTTCCAGCATCAGCAAAGTTTTGTTCGCGAGCCTCCAGGAAGCATGCACCTTATTATTCATCTTTCACAAAGGCTGTGTGTACATTAAAGCCATTGTACCTCGGGAGGTATAATGTTGGGAGCATCGCTTGCCACGGAGGGAAAGACCGAAGCGATCCTGGCAGGTGTCAAAAGCGGTGGTGCAGGATGCCTGCACGATCCGGGTTTTTGTTTCGTGGCATATTATATATGTGTTATATACATATATATATATAGATATACTTTACATATGGGATGTATATATATATATATATATATAGGAGCCTATATATACTATATATATATATATATATATATGGGTTGAATATATATTGATATATATATATATATATATATATACACACATATATTATACAGGGGTGTCCTTTTAGGAGGGTGCGAATGTGGACCCTTCTTCGAGAGCTATGTTGAAGCTTTCGAGTTGTACATGTATATATTATATATGGCTTTGCGATTTATTAAGATGTGTCTCAGGATCACGTTTGGTGTTAGGTTAGGTTTGGTGTGGTATATACTATATATATAACTGTATATACATGTATATATATGTGTACAAATCAATACTCGGATGCTATATATCTATAGCTTTCGGGTTTCTGTGTATACATATATATATATATCAAATATTTAGTTTCGGGTTTATGGTTAAAGGTTGTCTTGGCCTTGCACTGGAGTTTCCCGGACTGCTCGCAGTGGGGTTGCACCGTTGCAGCAATATGCTTGGAAACCTGCAGGAACAAAGAGCATGCATATATACATGTAAACAAAACATATCTCTGTATATATATATAGATATATAAGGTACGTACACAGTGCCTGCATGCTCCCATCCACTTTTCCTATATATAGTATACCTTTTATACAGATATACATATATATATATGTATGAATCTGCAGTCAAAGTAGTGGGTCGCTCGGCAGGGCCAAGAGCTCGCCAGCAGACCCCATGGCTTCCGCCGGGAGCTCCTCGCTCTCCTGCTTGGGAAGGAAATCATATGTATCCCAGCGAGGTCTCAGTCAGGTCTTGCAGGAACTCAAAGAGCTGCCCGAGTTGCCATCTGGGACGAGTCGCCGAACACTGAAGCGGGCCCGGGATGAGAAGACTCGGAGCTACCAAACTGCTTATGGCGAGATCCTATGCGACTTCAAGTGTGTTGCCGAAACTGGTGTGGAGTTTGAATTTCCTGTCTTGAACCCAGCTGCAATGCTTGCCTGGGCGACAGAGCGATGTCGACCATTTGGCGAGTTCCTGGAGAGGGCCATGGATGCCACACCCCCCAGCATTCTTCAACCATGGGGATTGGTGTGGTATTCCGACGAGCTGGCTCCGGGCAACCAACTCAAGCACTCCAACCGGAGAAAGGTCCAGGCCGTATATTGGAGCCTGCTCCCTTTGGGACAGCATGCAATGGGTTGCGAAAATTGCTGGTTCACTCTCTGTGCCATTCGCAGCTCTCTGGTCGCAGATCTCGGCGGCATGACTGTGCTCTTCAGGCAGCTAGCAGCCTTGTTCTTTGAGAGACCTGACTTCAGAAAAGGTCTTGTGTTGCAGTGCCCTGGACAAGCACGTATGCTCTTTGCCGACTTGAAGATCATCATATCCGACGAAGCTGCAATTAAGGCTACCCTTTTCAATAAAGGAGCCAGTGGGCTCATATTCTGTGTTCAATGCCAAAACGCCGTGGACCACAAAAGCAGCATTGCTGAAAGGAGTCGGGGCAATATGGTGTCCGGCCTGGAAACCGACATGAGTTGCTTTCGGATGCACACACCCGAGTCTATACGAGACACCATGGACTTCTTGCGAAGGCAAGAGAGGGTCCTCAACAAAGACAGATTCCTGCAACTCCAAACAGCAATGGGGTTCAATTTCAAAGAGGATGGATTGCTGGCACATGCAGCATACGGGCCTCCGGTCATCGAGTGTGTGATGTTCGATTACTTCCATGTCTATTTAGTCAATGGCATCTTCAATGTTCTGACAGGGTTTTTTCTTGGAGAGCTTCACAACCATGGCTGGAAGCACAATGACATTGATCGCTTCGCAAATGGTTTTACCTGGCCTTCTCGTTTGCGAGGTGCTGCTGCAAAGGATATCTTGCAGAAGCGAAAGCCAAGCGAAACCTTGAAGTGTGGAGCCAGCGAGGCTCTGAACTTTATGCAGCTGCTGCGACTCTATGTGCTAGTCTTTGTGCTGCCAAATTGCAGCAGAGATATCCGGGACTCTTGCGAGGTTTGGTTGGCTTTGTGCAAGGTGATTGATGCTTTGCAAGCGATCAATGCCAAACCTTCAGCATTTACCCCCCTGCAGTTGCAGCAGCTCATCAAAAGGCATCTCGATCTGGCGAAAAGTCGGTATGGAGATGAGTGGTGGGTGCCAAAGTGTCACTTGGCAGGCCATTTGGCGCTGCAACTGGCCAAGCATCAGGTCCTCCTCAGCTGCTTTGTGCACGAAAGAAAACATAAAATCATCAAAAAAATTTCGAATGAAATTTTGGATACAAGCAGAACCTTTGAGAGGAGCATCCTACAAGATGTACTCCATGGTCACATGGAAAGTCTGGCAGAGGGTGTATACCTCCCAGGCCAAGGAGTTCGCTTGGTCGACCCTGTGAGACCAGCTCCTGCCAGATTGCAAACAGAGATACACAACACGATCCGGGTCCAGGGTGAAGTCTTCACAGCCAGGCAGGCAGTGCATGGAGGAAACTTCACCGTGGCTGTCGGCGACTTGGCCTTGATGGATCTGGATGGGGTCACTGCCGTAGGCAAAGTGGCTTATCATGTAATGTGCGAGAAAGTTGTATGGTCGCACATTACCTTCTGGACACATGTCCATGGCTGTATGTATGAAGTCTCCGACGATTGTGGCCTCGTGCAAACCCGACTGATCCGGGCCACATGCCCTTACAGCATTTCGGGCAATGCTGCCATTGTCGCAGTCCCGCAGGTGTAAAAAAGAGAACTGCATGCGAGCTTTAAAGCCCTGCATTGCGTCTCTGAGCAGCATGCTTCATGCAACTTAGATCACTTAGCTCACTTATCTTTTTCATATAAATACACTTAGCTAACCAAGTTAACTTCAACATAGCTAAGTTCAATAACTACACTTACACATCTCATATAAGTCATTTGCTAACTGTGCCAAACAATTAACAACCTGCATATACAATTACTAACACCCCCGCCCCTTCAAGTACTCGGTGGACAACAGCCGCCTGAAGACCAAGGGCCGTGTCCAGCCGAGCCTCCTCTTAGGGGAGGAGCGTCAGTCCTGCAAGGTCAACTTTGAGGTGACCGAGGACATAGAGGACGAAATCCTCAGCATCAGCCGTGCTGTTGAGGCCGGTGCGGGCATTTGGCTCCACCGAGAGGACAGCCACATTTTGTGGCCCGACGGCGTCCGAGCCTCGATCCTCAAGAGAGGGTCACAGTTCCTCTTACCCTACGAGCGGGAGCTCCCGCCGGGGTCAACAAACCGTGGAGGACGCGGCGATGGAAGCAGCAGCCGACGAAGAGGCCGAAGCTGCTGAAGAGGAGGAGGCTGCGGGTAACCCCGGCCCTCTAGAGGAGCAGGCCGAGCAGCCTGACTCCAGGCCACGCGGCCTAAGGGCACCGCGCAACCCCACGGCGCAGGAACGCGCCGAGCACGAGCTCACTCACACGCCCTACCAGGCGTGGTGCGAGAAGTGCGTGGAGGGAAAGGCGCGCGAGGACCCTCACCGCCGCCGTGAGCCCTCGGATGATCCGGTGACGCCGCTTGTCACCATGGATTATCAGTTCTACAGCCGGGACGGGAAAGAAGTTGAGGAAGAAGCGTCGCTTGCCACGGTGCTGAACCTCACAGACAGGGCCACTGGCTGGACTCTGTCGGTTCCCGTGGCGCACAAAGGGCACAGACACGCGGCCTACGCCGCAGGGCTTGTGGAGCAGTTCGTGGATCGCCTGGGGTACGACAAGTTCACCCTGCAGGCTGACCAAGAGAATGCTATAGCCTCTGTGGCCCGTGCGGTCCACCGCCGGCTTGGAGCTGCTGAGGGTCTACCGTGAGGCTCCGATAGTGCATTTTGCACGACGCCGGAGCATACGCCATCATTATGATGTATTTTGTATCCGCTGATGTTTTATGCTTCCAACATCCTGTACACAGAGAAACTACTATGTTACTCGCTTCCGAGGTATATGAAAAAGAAGATTGCAGACTTTTAATTTCCAATTTTGGCTCAAACCGGCTCAAGCTATGGGAGAGAAAAGAAGAAAGAGACCCTATATACCCATCATTATACATATATATATATATATATATATATATATATATAACCATACATGTCTGTATGACCGCGAAAACCGCGGGAAAGACTCCAACGGAAACCTTTCAAAACCTGTCGGTGCGCTGTTGGGTTTAAACCTTCGCGAAGCAAACCATGTAGTAAAAACAACCATGCTACTTCAGAATTTGGCTGCCTCCTTCCCTGTGCCCTGAAACCCCAAACCTTTCGAAGCTCCATAAGCAACAGAAGCAAGCTCCCAGGGCGATTCTTCGCTCGAAGCTGTGGCTCTTCCGTTGAATATACCCCGAGAAAACCTTTAACTTTCGAAGCTCTAACTCAAAAGCTTGCAAGCAAGCTCCGAGTTCTCAGACGTTCCATGTTCACATGCAGTCATAGCATGCAGCAAGTGCAGTCGTACCGTCGCTCTGTGCATGCAAGTGCTTGCCATGCTCTCCTCTTGGGACTTTCCGAACATCGCCGGGCAGGCAGGGTGCCGTCGCCGTGCCTCTGATCAGAACATCGCATGATTTGCTTGCAAAAAGGCCGCATCATGAACGAGAAGCTCCTCATGAGCATCGCTTTTGCGGCTGAGGCTGCATGCGTTTTGCAAGCCAGTTCTGCAGGCATCGTCATGCGACCTTTGAGATGCTTTACTTGTTGCAATTTCGCTGTTGAAGACCGCAGCGTGAAGGCGCTACATGCCACACGCATGCATGGGATGTGAAAGCTTCATGCCACGGTACATGTCGAGACCAGCTCGTATAAGCGGCGATTTTCAAGGCTTGCGAGCTCTAAGCTCTTAGGTGGCTTTGCATTTGGAAGGGGTGCTTGGGACTTCCTTAAATTTGGAGCGATTTTGAAGGCTTGCGAGGTCTCAAGTGCGATTTTGCATTTTGAAGGGGTGCTTGGACCTCCTCGTGGAGCCATGGATGATGCAGGGCGTGCTGCGGAAGCGCTGGCTCGCATTAGGGATGGTAAGCCTCCCTTGGCTCGGGAGCTGCCCACGGCCGAGACATGGCGGTCGGTGCGTGGCTCGACTGCAATTTCGAAGGACCGTTCACGAATCATGATCTTGATATTGCAGAGCATCTTGAGATCATTAGGAGCTGGCAAGATCTCGTGGACATACGAGATGGTTGAGCCTTGCATGCATTTGATGTTTGTTTGCAGCGGTCTGTTGGCAAGATGACCGGCAGCATATTAGGTTTTGATTGCGACCCTGACCTACGAGCGGCTCCCGATCGAGATGCTGACGATGATCCAGAACCCTGCGTGGCAGGGAGCGAAGCTGATCACTTTGAAGAGTGAATTGGCCAGGCCGACGGCCATGGAGATATCCCTCCACTACAAATGGATCAAGCCGTGGTGCACCGTGCTCCCAACCAAGGTCCCGTCAGGGTACTTTATAACAGACGTGATGCTGTTCCTGAACGGCCTTTTGGATTCAAAATTGCTACGAGTCAAAGAATCGGAATCCGTCCGCGGCCGAGCTGCAGAAGACGCGGTTCGTCTGCGGAAGCTCATCTCGAGCCTACGGTACCTCTTCCGATCCAGCCACTCGCTGGCAACTCATAGCTGTGAGCATGCATGCATGCTCTTACATTTTCAGAAGCCCGTGCAGGCACGAGCAGCAGATTCGAGAGGATTCACGACTTGAAGCAAGACCTCCGGCGCAAGGTGTGCCCGTTCGGTTGCAGATTGCACGAAGGTTTGGTATTAAGCCTTTGTTTGCTCCCAGGAAAAGAAGGAAAAGAAGAAGGGCGCCGACGAGCCGCTGCCGATCGCCGACGGTGAGGCGGCGGCGATTGACAACGGCCCCGGAGACGGGGAGGATTCTTGGCTTTTGGAGTTGCTGGGTGCATGGGTATTTTTTGTGTGCTCTATCTCAGGCCGAGCTCGAGCTCTCGCAAGCATCAACCCGGGAATTGGGAGAGCATCTGAATGATGAAAATGATGAGGCCGCTCATTGCATGCATGATGCCATGGTGCTTTGTCTGTATAGATTGCCATGACCTTCAATCACCTGCCAGGACTTCGATGAAACCAGCTCCCTCAACCTCCTGAGCGACGAGAGCTCATCCGAGGATTTCGGGAAAATCATGTTTGCGAGGTTACGAGTTTTTGTGTGCTCATTTCACGAAAACAGGAGGACCCGGACGACCCCTTGGATTTAAAGCTGGAGGAGCTGCAGGCCGGCATGCACTCTCCGTGGAGGTATGAGGCTTTAGCTGCCCTTCGACAAGCCGAATACGAGCGTGACATGATTCAGATGCAAATGGCGGCCTCACAAGATGGAGACCCACCCGCCGCTTGGTTGAATCCGATCACACGCACAAACATGTTATAGATTTCCGCGATTATATGCCAAACTACAGGACATGGTGGACCCGAGCCAAGCGGTCACGGAGAGCTACCTCGGCTGCGGGGATGTGCCTGAGCCGCCGAGCTCGCCGGGCGAGAGCGAGGCGGCCGATGATGCTTGCGAGGATTCGTGTTGGGAACAAGAAATGTTAACATGTTCACGTCTGCATGATGTATGCGTGTCCCCGGCCATCAGGATGACGGGGGCCTGTGGTTGTGTCGTCCCCAAGCAAAAGTTGATCTAGATGAACCTATCTTCGGCATTTGGCCGATGGTCATCGATGATTCTGATGAGGATGATGATGATGTGCAGAGTGCAAGTCCCGTGCATGATGGAACCGTGCGTGTCCCTGCTCCCTGTAGGAGACCCGAAAGGACAGCGACATCGAGCCGAAGACATCATCCGAGCAGGACGTTGTGATTCATGCACGCATGCGAAGTCATGATCAATAGCTTCTTTTGAAGGATGATGCAACCGACCTCGAAAAGGCGGAGCGGATCGCAGATGAGCTCGAAGTGGGCAAGGAGGCCGACAATGGGCCCAAGAAGAGGAAGAAGGACAGTGCCATGCAAATGAGATTTCATGCACGATTTCGAAATGACTTTGTGGTTTTGCAGGGCCTCCGGCGGAACAAGAAGAAGAATCGGGATGCGATGGACTCGGCCCGTGAGGACCGTCATTCTTTACAAGGCTATAGATGCTTCACGTATGATCATATGTCATTGGTGCAGGATCAGCAAAGCGCGGCCAACAAGGGGCCCAAGAAGAAGAAGAAGGGCGGGCAGGATGCCATGGACTCGGCCCCCAAGGACTGCTCCATGCAAATGATTGTTCCTTTATATCATTGGAGGTTTGATTGCGTGATGCTTATTTCATTCCAGGATCCAGTCAGCAGCGACTCATGCCCGAGCATACTTCGTGAGCGAGCCACACAGCTGGACCGCGAGCCACAAGTTGTTTTGGAGCATATTTTCATGGGCCCATGGGTGCATGTTCAATTTGTTCAGTTCGGATGCAGGATGATGATATCGAGGAGCCCATGGCTGCTCCCTTTATGAGCTCTGACGAGGACTGTGTATGAAGTCCTTGCAATCTAAGTGTGAGTTGAGCCACCTAGAATTAACAATCTTACAGCGACTGTTGCATCAGGAGAATGCTGATGAGACATGGCTGAGTGAGCCCGATATTCTCTGAGAGGCGGTATACTCCAAGTTTGGAGTGCATGTGCCGGATGGGATGTACTAAGGAGTTTATCCGGAGTCCATGGGGCAGTGCCGATGAGGTCGACATTTGCTGTTTGTTCTTCGAGAGATATTGTCTAATGCAAGCCATTCAAACCAAATGTGCAAGAAGCAGCGATTCAAAGGATGATGCTTTCGGCTCGCCCCTGCCCCTGGGCGAGCTAGCCGACCAAAGCCAGGAAGAGGATCCTATGTTTTGTGATGCAGTTCCCATTGAAACCAAATATGCAAAAAGCCCCGATTCAGAGGAGGATGTTTTCGGGTCGCCCGTGGGCGAGCGAGCCGACCGCAGCGAGGACGAGGATCCGATGTTTTGTGATGCAAATTCCCATTGAAACCAAATATGCAAAAAGCAGCGATTCAAAGGATGACGTTTTCGGGTCGCCCCTGGGCGAGCGAGCCGACTGCAGCGAGGACGAGGATCCGTTTTGTGATGCAATTCCCATTGAAACCAAACATGCAAAAAGCAGCGATTCAAAGGATGACGTTTTCGGGTCGCCCCTGGGAGAGCCAGCCGACGGCAGCCAGGAGAACGATTTGCAGACATATGTGCATACTTTGGCAGTGCAGCCTTAAGTGTATGCCCGGAGGAGATGGATGAGATGCCTGCTGTTGGTCCGCAGAGTGCCGCGAACATGAAGGCCGCGAGAAAGAAGGCCAACGAGCCCACAAAGCCGATGAAGAAGAAGAAGGTGAAGAGAGCTTCTTTTCGGCGTGGCAAGAAAGGGCTGCGCAAGATGAAGCGCCGGTTGCCGCCCGGCATGATGTTCAATGGGTACGATCTGCTGAAGCTTGAGGTTCCGAAGGATGCTTGGCCCCAAGGGGTGTGCAAAGGCCTTCACAGTTATACTGTGAAGGCCCCCAACGACACAGCGATCGAGGTTTTGTGCCGCAACAAAGCCTTTTTTTGCAAGCGAGTGCATCCGAGCCTTGCCGCGGACCCCGATCATCGAAAGGGACAGGTCGGCTGGAAAACCGTGGGCAGTGTGGCTGCTGCATGGAGAGTGGCGAAAGACCGAGTTGGGTGGGACCTGAAGTGATCAACAACAACACCAACAGCAACAACAACTACTACTACTATACTATGCTGCTGGTACTAGTACTACTATACTACTACTACTAGTACTGCTACTACTACTACTACTACTACTACTACTACTACTACTACTACTACTACTACTACTACTACTACTACTACTACTACTACTACTACTACTATACTACTACTACTACTATACCACTACTACTATACTACTACTACTACTACTACTACTACTACTACTACTACTACTACTACTACTACTACTACTACTACTACTACTACTACTACTACTACTACTACGACTATATACTATATACTACTAGTATTCGCACCATGCTGCTCTATACTCCTATATACTACGCTGCTTTTGCTGCCATGCACCATGCACGTTTTCTAGCACAATGCACTTTTGCACTTGTTGTAAGAAGGTTTGTACTATGTGTGCCGTGCAGCTAGACTAGAGCATGCATGCAGAGAGAGATCCCATCCGGCAGTGCGGTTCAAATTTTGGTGAACGCGACGTTCACACGCATGCTTCGCTCTGCGGTGGAGCCAGGAGTGCATGTTGTGAGTTGAAGTGCAGTGAGTGCATGCAAATATACTCAGCTAGCCTATGGCATGTTCTTTAGAAGCTGTTGCTTGTGTGCCTGGCGGGCTGCTGTAGATTTTGTGAAGCAGCTTTTCTATAAAGCAGTACGATTCTGCCGGAGGCAAGAGGAGGCCCGCGGCCATGCATGCAGTGCCAGTTGCTGGGAATACATGTGGTCCGGCAGATGCTGTCGTCGTACTGCTCATGGCAATACAAAGAGCTTTCTACATCCCACGGAATGAGAGCACGCATGGCCCGCGTGCCAAAACGAGGGGCGCAGGCTTTCACACAGCGAAGCGGAAGCCGCTGAGAAAAAACCTTTGAGTTTGAGCTGCAGGTTGCATGCCCTGAGAGTATAGCATTCACGAAGTTTTGTCTGTTCCGGCAAATGCATGCCTGCAGGTGTGGCCCAGAGGATATTCCGATGTGGATGTGTATGACTTTATGGAAGGACCCACCTTCCAGGGTTGCAAGCAGGTGGTTCAGGATCAGTGCCATGCCCGTCTCATTTGTGTGTGTGCCCAGAGGACATTCCGATGTGGATGTATGACTTTGTGGAAGGACCGAACCTCGAGGGTTGCAAGCAGGCGGTTCACGTGCAGTGCCATGCCCGTCGGGTTTGTGTGTGCGTGTGTCATGTGTGCCTGAGAGTGCATCGAAGCTACGTTCATGGATTCAGGCTCATGGAGTGTCTTGCAAGAAGAACAGATGCTATTGCTTTCCACAATCTTCCGACAAAGCAATCATGCAAGTGTATTTGCAAACAGTGCTTCGATTGTCGAGATATAGTGCATGTAGCATGCACGCAGCTACATAGTCTGCTTGTGGTTTCAGTTCGCACGATGAAGCGTGCTTCCAAGAATACGAAGAAGCTGCGAGTGCAGCGACCGTTGCCGAAAAGCCGGCGACTGCTGCAGCAGATGTTCGTGCTGCACGGGCTAGCACGTCTGGGTGCGGTTTTGGAGGTTTGGTTTGCACATAGTGGCTGCGTCATGAGCATGTCAAGCCCTTCCCGCGATTGGACAAAGTTGTTGACCGTCCATGAATGAGGTCATTTTTAGACTTGTGGCATTGGTGACACAGATCGAGAGCCTGCCCTGGGATACTGCGGTGCAGCACTTCGAAACGTTTGCTGGCCAGAAAGCTGTTACTCGAGCAGAACTTCAAGCTGCTTGATTGCAGAATAACTGAGTGCGATTGGTTTCCCCCCCCCCCCCACGCCCCACAGAACTGAGTCATTGGTTTCCCCCCCCCGCCCCACAGAACTGAGTGATTGCTTTCCCCCCCCGCCCCCCGCCCCACCCTCCCAAAAGCCCATGCCCTGCAACATTGTTCCCAGGCTGGGAGATTTGCGATCTCGCACGACATAAGCTACAACGAGCGCACGATGAATATCCTGGGCTCCCTGGGATTCTGCAATGCAGTGTTTGAATGCATGCGACTTGAGCCCGGCAGTGGAAAGCTCACGGCTCCGGTTTGCTCTTCTTGGATCTTTATGTAGGGCACTAAGTTGATGCTGCGCGATGTATGTACCACACATGATGTGCGGGTCCTGCTATGTCTGCTGTGCTGTGGTGCTCTTGCCTTTTCTCAGGTCCCAATCCAAAACACAGCGGCGTTCCGGTGATGTCACGGGAGACGAGACTGTGCAGTCTGTGACAGATGGAAACTGCATGCTTTGGAGGGTTGTGGCACTCCTCCTGATCTGCTCAGCTAAGGGTGTCTTTTGGATCTTGGAACAACCAGAGAGATCCCTGATGCAACATCATCCAGCGTTCCAGCTTCTGTTCGGGATGATCCAGCGCTATAGGGTTTCGGTCAACATGGTCGAGTACGGTGCCAGATCGAGGAAGCCGACTTGGCTATATAGTAGCGCCTTGGCTGATTTCGAGGACGAGCCATGTGATTGCATGTGGGTTTTGCACGATTGAGATGGAGCTTTTCTGTTGTTGCTGAGACCGAAAGATCCTGGAGAAGCTCCCGAAGTTCAAGCCAGCCGAGTCCGATCTGCCAACGGATGCAGACAAGCAGGGATGGGAAATGACGGTGCGCCGTGTCGACGAGAGTGGGTGCAGTCGAGTCACTGGCGGCAAGAATCTCAAGTCTTCTCAAGCATACCCGAGGCAGTGGGGATCTGAGTTTGAGTGTGGTGCGTGCAGGTAAACCAAGAACCCGAACCCGAGGAATTTGCTGCTTCCCATGTTAAGGTTCGGTGCTTCGCTATCATGCTTGCGGACTGAGTATGACAAAGAGATCAAGCAGCATGCTTGGCAAGAGCTCTCCGAGGCTTTGAGGCAGCGTTTGCGGCTGCCTGGTGATTGCAAGATTTCCAAGAAATGGGCGAAACAAGCTTGTTTCAAGAAGGTCTTTGATTTCCTTCGAAAGCAGCAATAGCTGCTTGCTACATCCTACATGTAGCAAACAATGCGTGCAGTGTACAGTCGAGTGCAAGCAGCAGATCTCGGTGGGGTATACCGACAAAAGGCTGCACTGCAAGATTTGCTGCAAGCCTGATGCATGCAAGGGATGGTGTGCAACAGCTATAGTTCTGTGTGATGCATGCAAGAACGGTGTGCTTTTTCGCAGGAGTATGCCGCCGTTCGAATTGAAGCCGCAACATCTGCAACTGGCTGAATGCCGTGGTCCAAAGCAAGGCCGGCTGCATGGGTGCCAGACAGAACATGTGGTGCTGTGCTCTAGTTTGCGAGAATGGAGGGCTGGACGGCAAAGGTTTTTTTCAGAGCCGGGACGGGCCGTGATTTGTGTTGCCCCTCTGCCGTGATTTGTTTTACCCCGCTGCCGTGATTTGTTTTACCCCGCTGCCGTGATTTGTGCCAACATGCCGTGATTTGTTTTGCCCCGCTGCCGTGAGGGGAGGGGAAAGAAGAAATAGAGGACGGGAGCTGGGAGACACTGAAAGACAGATGGAAGTGGGAGGGGAGACGGCAGATGAAATGGATTTCGCCGAGACAGAAACAAAAAACACGCAAAGGAATCGGCGCAAACGGCCCAAAGTCGATGCCGTGATTTGGCGTGGACGCTGCCGTGATTTGGCGTGGAATGCCGTGATTTGTATTTGGGCCCCTAAAACCATACCGAACCGACTGCAAACGACGCACCCACGACCACAACTCGACACGAACGACCCGAATTCGGAACAGAGCCGCCACTGCACCTACACAAACCAGCTGTGATTGTAACACTTCACGCGTGATTTGTTGCACCGCTGCCGTGATTTGCTCCAACCGCTGCCGTGATTTGTTTTACCGATGCCGTGATTTGTGCCAACCGCTGCCGTGATCTGTGCCAACCGCTGCCGTGATTTGCTTTACCCCGCTGCCGTGATTTGTTGTTTTCCCCGCTGCCGTGATTTGTTTTACCCCGCTGCCGTGATTTGTTTTACCCCGCTGCCGTGATTTGTGCCAACATGCCGTGATTTGTTTTGCCCCGCTGCCGTGATTTGTACCTCGACCGAAGCCGTGATTTCTATATGCCATGGTATACACACATGACATGCATGTCGGCACATGATATGTATGTGTGTGTATATATATATATATATATATATATATATATTAAAACTATATGTATGTATATATATACTATATGTGTTATATAATATATAAACATATATAGCTGCGTGCATGCATGTGTGCTATAGCTATTACAGCATGCATGCATTAGATTGCATGCGCCTTTAAAGGATTGAAAGGCATGCACCTGTTAACTCATATATGTGCACGAAGGTATCATGGTGAAACCCACATTGTGCGATTGCCATTCTAGAGTCTGTCTGTCATGCATTATCATGCATGTAGTCACACATGCAACCAACTCGGCAGCAGTCTGCCATGCCTACATGTCATGCATGCATATACAGCCCACAGCATGCATTGTTGTCAAACCCAGCCAGCCGACCCATCCCGCCCAGCACAGCCGATCGAGCCCGTCTATCAGTCCGTCTGTCTATTTCTCTATCTGTCTGTCTGTCTCTCTGTCTGGACATATTGGTATGCAGTTTGTGTGTCGTCTGCAGAGATCGAACAGAAGCATGTGGAGAGATTCTGAGAGAGACTGCGTGCAGACTGGATGCATGCATGTTGTGCTGCAACACCCATGTGCCTCGAAGCGTTTGCTTGTGTTTTGAAACCGTCCCTTCTTGAAGTGCTGCAGCCATGCCAGCCGACGGGACGAGTCGGGTGACACACCGGATCCCTTCGAAAAGGCAGCAGTCGCGAGATTCAGAGGCAGAAGTCGCTTCGAAAAAACCTCGTTCAAAGCCGTCGCCACAGGACGTGGCTCGGCACGAGAAACTGATGAAGATGATAGAAGAACGGGCCAAGAAAGAGAAGAAAGAAAGCAAAGGCAACAAGGAGAGCAAAGACAAGAAGGAAAGCAAAGACAAGACGGAAGCCAAGGACCAGCAGGCCACAAAGGCAAAAGCCAGCAAGCAGGAGCAAAAGAAAGCCAAAGATGATGAAAACCAAGCCCCCAACAGCAACGAGGCGAAGCGAAGGGAAGAGAAGAAGAAAGAAAGCAAAGAGAAGAAGGAAAGCAAAGACCAGAAGAAGGACGACAAGAAGGAAAGCACAGAGCAGAACAGCAGCAAAGACGAGAAGGCAAGCAAAGACCAGAAGAAGGACAACAAAGACAAGAAGGAAAGCAGAGACAAGAAGGAAGCCAAAGACAAGAAGGAAAGCAAAGGCCAGAAGAAGGACAGCAAAGACAAGAAGGAAAGCAGAGACAAGAAGGAAGCCAAGGACCAGCAGGAGGGCCCAAAGCACAAAAGGCAGAAGAAGTCCCGGCCGGTCGAGTCAGAGGACCGGGCAAGGGTTTCCGTGCATGCAGTCTGTGGTGGTTTCCTTGTATAGAGCATGGCGTTGTAAAGTTGAATGATAGATCTTTGTGCCGTGCTTCGAAGGATGAAGAGTCACAGAATGCCTTTGATGAGGTCGCCATGCACGAGGCAAACCTGGCAGCTGCCGAGCTTGCTGCCGCAGAAACCGAGGACCCTGGTGAGGAGTCAGACATGACGGAGGCAGAGATCGATGATGCTGAAAGCCGGGAGTGCAGCGAGGAAGAGGCAGAGCAAGAAGAAGATGAGGAGCAGGCCCCTCGCACACCCGGAGCCGGTGCTTTGGAGAGCGACGAGGAGCTGCCCCTGTCGCAAGAGTGCCGACTGGACGAGGATGAGATGCAATCGTCCAGTTCGGATTCTTCGGAATCCGAGGAGAATGTGGACGGCGAGCCCCTGGAGGCAGAAGAGGAGGCTGCCGACAAGGCTTCCTTGAGTAGTGCGGTTCAGGAGGGCGAGGCACTTGTGCGCAACAGCTCCCCAGATGAATTTGATCCCTTGTTTCATGTGAGGTGTTCTGTGTCAGCTGTGGCAATGTATGCAAGCAGTTAAGGTGCGACGCACAGGAAGGAATGGGCCGTGTTTGACCGTGCGATCAAGAACCGCCAGAAGTTCCCCGTGGCTCTCAGCAACTATGCGAATAAATCCAAGACGGATTTGTTTGGTGCCTGGCTCGATTGCAACGGCAATTGGGAGGAGTTACATGGCTGAAGCTAGCTAGGCATGTTTGCGTGTGTGTGTGTGTGCTTCCTTCTTGCCACGGACTTGTTTGTTTCTTCCAAGGCAGACATGATTTGTGATTTGCATGCTGTGCTGCTGCAACCCAGGGTGAAGCTGACTATGGAGCGCAAACACGAGAAGACGAACCTCAACCGGCAAGATGTGGTTGCCATCCAGGGCAAAGAGCTGAAGAAGAAGTACGAGACGGAGGCATAAGTGGTTCCGTTGATTCTGTTATTTCGTGCTCATCTCGTGCCCATATGGATCCTGTTGCCAGGACATGTACAAGCAAGTGATCGCAGCAAGAAAGGCCGAGGGACGATGGTACAAAGACAAAGACTTCCCGAGCAATGAGGATGTGACTAGGTTGCGGTCAGAGTGTCGTTTGCCAGCTTTGATTGTAATGCTGCATGCATTCCCGTTCCGAGGAAGCGTGGTACTACATGCCACAGGGCCACTTGCTGCGGAGTGACAATGCCACAAAGGAGTCCCAGAACCTGTCTGTGGATCAAAGCATGGATGAGGATTTGGGAAAAATTCTTGAGGAGAATAACCTGCTTCAGGCAGGCTGCATGCCTGCTGTGCATGCAGAAACTGAGGCTGGGGAGAAGGCCCTGCTTTCCCTCTTCGAGGAACCAGGTGCGGTTCAGAAGCGAACTGCGAAGCCCCGGAAGCAGGAGGCTGCAGAGACAGGTGCCGAGGAGATGAAGCCCAAGACCCTGCAGGAGTTCCTTGCACTCATGGCTTCCATTTTGTTTTGCATATGAGATTTCAGTTCGACTTTAATATATGTGTGCAGTATCTTTGGATCCTTGCAAGTTGCTAAGGCAAGTGACAGAAAGGAAGCCGGAGATCCTCAGAGATTCCACGGAGGCACGCAAAACCGCCATCACCCTCACCAACCTGAACTATGGTGGTGACCTATCGGACCAGCTGCTGAAGTTTTCGAAGCAGATGGAGCTGGCCTACAAGAACCTCGCTGCGCTGCAAAAGAAGGAGGGTGTTGAAACCGACGTGAAGAAGATTCTCCGATGGGTTGAGAAGAAAAACCCATGGTTCAAGCAAGCCCAGGCGCATGATGCTGTTGCGGTATAAACTAAACTTATGCTTGTGTTGGTTCTGCCGTTTTGTCGCAGGCGGCAGCAGACGGCCTGATGAAGGGCCTGAAAGCCAAGAAGAAGGCAGGAGCAAAGGCTAAGCCAGCAGCGAAAAGTGCTGCCCCGAAGAGTTCCGCGAAAGCGGACTGATGTGATTTCTAGATTCTAGATGCAGCAGTGTGCAGATTGACGGTCGTCGGGACGACATTCTGACGTGGGATAGACTTGCCACGGCGAGCCCCCACTGGGACGTGCACGCACACTTCATGATTTGTGGGTGTTTGTGTTGAACCCATTGCAGTATATATCCCTTGAAGTTCTGAAGTTCCGATGGTCTATAGGTGTAGGTGAAGGAAGAATGCTTTCTGAGTGAAGTGTGCCATGCATGTCACCGAATGTTTGGGAAGACTCTTTTGCCAAGATGTGCAGCTGCTGCGAAGGATGCTCCATGTCATTCTGCTGAAAGATTGTGATTTTGCAGTTGTTTGCATGCATGTGGTGCGGTCCGGTGTTGCACAGATTTGCCGAATCTACTTTGGAGTCTGCTTCCTGGATTGCAGGCGTGGCTGGTGATGACTTGCAAGCGAGGCTGGGCCGTTTCAATCGTCATGTGCTTTGCTCAGTTCATGTTGCTGTGGTGTGCTGACACAAGGCCGTCATCTTTTCGTCGGAGAGAAGATTATTCCTCTCTGCCACGTTCTCACGCAGCAGAAGAGCTTCTGGAAATGATTGGAAGTGGGAAGACTCATGTGGCTCATGCACAAGGTTTGGCAGCTGCAATGGTTCGCGATGGTATACCTCAAGAGGCCGTTGCTGCTTTTGCAAGTTTGGGCTCCTTCGGAGCTCACGCTTCGAATGCTGAGCGAGACCTGCATAGGTGGCTACGAGGCATCTATGGAGTTTCTTTGGAGCCATACGTGATAGAGTTGATGCTTGAAAGCGACAACATTGATGAGAACGACAAAACGGTGACAGTGTCCACACGGATACCTGTGCTCCTACCACACGAGATCTTCTCTGAGCTTCATTCTTCAAGCGAGTATCAGGTTCTCATGGGACAAAAGACACAGAGTGACACAGGTAAGTAGTAAGAACACGGTTTTGGTTCCTGTGCTTCCGTGTATGTCTTAAGTATATGTTCGGTCTATGCCATAATGTGCAAATACCTCCTGCTTCCCTGTCAGTTTGGTTTGAGCATGCTGGGGCAAGGAACACCTGCTGCCATCAAAGAGTTTTGGAATCATTTGCAGCGATTTTCGCCGGCAGAGGTGAATGATCATCCGGCGCTCGAGAGCGCCGATCTTGGCAAGATGGTACCATTGCTGGTTCACTTTGACGGTGCAGAGATGTACAACAATGCTGAATATAACGTTTGGTCGTTTTCGAGTGCTATGTCATCTTTGCTGGATGTGGATTGCCTGCAAACTCAATTTGCGTGCTGCATGATTCCTCACAGAGCAATGGAAGAGAAGCAGGCCCGTGTGGGACATCATGTGTTTTAAGTAATCGTGCGACTGCCTATAATGCACAGAACAAGAAATTGCTCACAGGTGAAGGAGTACGTTCACAAAGAAATCGCGAGGCTGATGAGCTGGTCGTTCGAATGCCTTCAAAGAGGAAAGTTTCCTGAGACTGGATTCAATGGGGAAGAGTTTCCTTCTGCGTCGTGCCGTGCGAAAAGAAGTGGCACGGCATTGGCTGGTGAGTGGAAGATTCTTGGTTGCAGCTACACGGAAACTGCGGGGTTTGGCTGTGTGTGTGTGTGCAATGCGCTTGTGTGCATGTGTATATGCATGCATATATGGGGGCGTCTCTCTCTCCCTCTCTCTCTACCCCTCCCAACCTGGTGCAGTCTCTCTCTCTCTCTCTCTCTCTCTCTCTCTCTCTCTCCGTGCTGGTGCTCTGAGGGCTTGCTTCTACGGAATTCGTGGGGACCAGAAGGCGAGACGGGAATGTCACTATTTCAGTCGCCACTATAATTGCAATCTGCTTTGCGACCGCTGCCTAGCAATGAAGCCTGGGAAAAACTGTGTGGACGGCATGAACTACAAAAACTTTTCCTCAGCTGCTCCGTTTCTTCTGACGACTGTTGATCACAACCTGTACCTGAACTCGACTCCTGCAACCCGACTTTCGCCTTGGACGGCTATGCCGGGATGGAAGATTGAAAAAACTTTCTTTGACTGGATGCACGTTGTATTGTTGGGGGTTGGCAGAGATGTGGTTGCTGCTGCTATCAAGCTCCTGGCAATGCTGGGAGAGATTTCCCGGGAAACCTTGCGTGCAGATTTGAAAGCCCTGACAACCTGGATCAAAAAGGAACGGAAGAACGAGACTGGGACGCTTGGACGGCTCGACCTTTTGTTTTTCTCTAAGTTCCTGGTTTGGGTTTGTTCCGGTGTGGTGATTTGATGAACTTGCAAGTTTAAGTGAAGGGCGTCCTGCTCTTTGCCTTCTTTCACCCCTGCGAACACTGGCTTGGATCCCTGGAATGAATATCCGGAAGTGGGCAGCATCTACAAAGCAGCACATGTGAAGATTCTGGTGTGGGGCATGGCGAGAAAGCTGAAGAATGTCTTGGTGCAACGAAAGGACCCCTGATTGTCTGCACGCCGGGCAAGCATCATGTCATCAGTGTCGGTGTTTGCTCACATTTCTCTCTCACTCCCTCCCCCCCTCCCTCCCTCCCTCCCTCCCTCCCTCGCTCTCTCTCTCTCTCTCTCTTTCTCTTTCTCTTTCTCTTTCTCTTTCTCTTTCTCTCTCTCTCTCTCTCTCTCTCTCTCTCTCTCTCTCTCTCTCTTTCACTTGCTTGCTTGCTTGCTCTCTCTCTCTCTCTCGCTCTCCCTATCTCTCTGTCTGTCTCTCCCTCCCTCCCTCCCCTTCCCGCTCCTCTGATTCCGCCTCTTCTGCCACTGTGCAAGGATGACGATTTGATGAATATGGCACTGGCAATTCGAGCACTGGACCGAGCCCAACGTCTGATCGACAACAACGACTTGTTGCTGAGCGGGGATGATTCGACGAAATTCAACGAGATGGTTCAGTTGCATCTACGAACGTGGCAGCGACTGGCTTTGAAGTTCGAGGCCCTATGCATCCCTTTGGCTTATATCCGCCCGAAGCACCACTATCTACAACACATTGGGCTATATGTTGCGAAAACGAGAATCAACCCGCGCATACACCAAAACTTCAATTCAGAATCCTTCATGGGGAAGATGAAAAAGGTCGCTGTGAAGTGCCATTCGGCTTCAATGCTGATGCGTGTGCAGCAAAGGTATGTGCTTTACCTTTCCTTCCTGTGGGAGCGAGCAAAAAGAGCATCAGAGATACCGGCTGTTACTGGGGACGAGTCCGTGGAGCAACTCCTGCTTCTCGATTGGGAAAGGGAACAGCATGCGTTCAGCAGCACGGCAGTATATGCAAAACGACGATGCTTGGGCAAGTGATCCACTTCAGCTCTGTGCAAATATGGCACATGCAGCGACGACTGCATCATGAGCGGATGCACGCGCGGATCGTGAAAATGTTTCCCGAGTCGGAAATTTCGAGGTTTATCTTCGGAAGTTTCGGTGTTCATCTTTATAATTCAAAGGGCTCATTGGGCATGGAGTGACGGCACGAGGGATCAAGAGTTTAGTGTACCAGGGCCCTTCGATCCGAAGGATCTTATAAACTAAAGGGTTCGAGACGGCCGGTTTTGAACCACCCAATTGGTGAAGCTAAACTTACGAGAGCTTTCATTGCATCCACCCGATTTCGATACAAATCCGCATGCTCCCATTCGTTTCGACATCTGTGCTAGCTCTATACAAACTTCAAGCGGCCTTAAGGCAGCTACTGCGAGGAAATACCCATGCACATATGCATATATTGTAAAAATGTGTGTATATATATATATATATATGTACATATATGCATATAGCTTCCGACACACGATCGAACCATGGAACCTGAAAAGAAACCCCTGAACCCGACGACCTTTACGGACCCAACGACTTAACTCTACCCAAATCCTTTGAACGAAAACCCTACAAGCAGATTTAGGTGAAGCCTCGGCTCCAAAAGTCCCGCAGCTGTAAATCCCGAAACCCTACCCACAAAATAAGCAAGCTCTCCCCGCTCAAAGATCTTTACTTTGAAACCCTATCAGAGACCCTATATACCTTACATATTTTGGCTCAAAGTGTGTGCTCTTAAGGCATTTTAAACGCCATCAGCGCAAGCGCTAATTGCATCAGCGCACACGCATAGCGGTTAAACGCCATCAGCGCAAGTACAGCGGCTAAACGCCATCAGCGCAAGCGCTAATTGCATCAGCGCACGCAACCAAGTGCGAATTCAATGTTTGCATGTTGTACATATCCTTGCATATTGCAATTGCATCATGCAGTTGCAATAATTTTTAAGAAGCCATACACGCCATCAGCGCAAGCGCTAATTGCATCAGCGCACGCATATAGCGGCTGAACGCCATCAGCGCAAGCACACCGGTTAAACGCCATCAGCGCAAGCGCTAATTGCATCAGCGCACGCAACGAAATGCCATATTGAGCTGGCACCTATATGCCACCACGTGCAAATTGCAAGCATGCAATGCGCATGATACCCAAGCACATACTTGAAGGGGCGGGGGTGTTAGTAATTGTATATGCAGGTTGTTAATTGTTTGGCACAGTTAGCAAATGACTTATATGAGATGTGTAAGTGTAGTTATTGAACTTAGCTATGTTGAAGTTAACTTGGTTAGCTAAGTGTATTTATATGAAAAAGATAAGTGAGCTAAGTGATCTATGTTGCATGAAGCATGCTGCTCAGAGACGCAATGCAGGGCTTTAAAGCTCGCATGCAGTTCTCTTTTTTACACCTGCGGGACTGCGACAATGGCAGCATTGCCCGAAATGCTGTAAGGGCATGTGGCCCGGATCAGTCGGGTTTGCACGAGGCCACAATCGTCGGAGACTTCATACATACAGCCATGGACATGTGTCCAGAAGGTAATGTGCGACCATACAACTTTCTCGCACATTACATGATAAGCCACTTTGCCTACGGCAGTGACCCCATCCAGATCCATCAAGGCCAAGTCGCCGACAGCCACGGTGAAGTTTCCTCCATGCACTGCCTGCCTGGCTGTGAAGACTTCACCCTGGACCCGGATCGTGTTGTGTATCTCTGTTTGCAATCTGGCAGGAGCTGGTCTCACAGGGTCGACCAAGCGAACTCCTTGGCCTGGGAGGTATACACCCTCTGCCAGACTTTCCATGTGACCATGGAGTACATCTTGTAGGATGCTCCTCTCAAAGGTTCTGCTTGTATCCAAAATTTCATTCGAAATTTTTTTGATGATTTTATGTTTTCTTTCGTGCACAAAGCAGCTGAGGAGGACCTGATGCTTGGCCAGTTGCAGCGCCAAATGGCCTGCCAAGTGACACTTTGGCACCCACCACTCATCTCCATACCGACTTTTCGCCAGATCGAGATGCCTTTTGATGAGCTGCTGCAACTGCAGGGGGGTAAATGCTGAAGGTTTGGCATTGATCGCTTGCAAAGCATCAATCACCTTGCACAAAGCCAACCAAACCTCGCAAGAGTCCCGGATATCTCTGCTGCAATTTGGCAGCACAAAGACTAGCACATAGAGTCGCAGCAGCTGCATAAAGTTCAGAGCCTCGCTGGCTCCACACTTCAAGGTTTCGCTTGGCTTTCGCTTCTGCAAGATATCCTTTGCAGCAGCACCTCGCAAACGAGAAGGCCAGGTAAAACCATTTGCGAAGCGATCAATGTCATTGTGCTTCCAGCCATGGTTGTGAAGCTCTCCAAGAAAAAACCCTGTCAGAACATTGAAGATGCCATTGACTAAATAGACATGGAAGTAATCGAACATCACACACTCGATGACCGGAGGCCCGTATGCTGCATGTGCCAGCAATCCATCCTCTTTGAAATTGAACCCCATTGCTGTTTGGAGTTGCAGGAATCTGTCTTTGTTGAGGACCCTCTCTTGCCTTCGCAAGAAGTCCATGGTGTCTCGTATAGACTCGGGTGTGTGCATCCGAAAGCAACTCATGTCGGTTTCCAGGCCGGACACCATATTGCCCCGACTCCTTTCAGCAATGCTGCTTTTGTGGTCCACGGCGTTTTGGCATTGAACACAGAATATGAGCCCACTGGCTCCTTTATTGAAAAGGGTAGCCTTAATTGCAGCTTCGTCGGATATGATGATCTTCAAGTCGGCAAAGAGCATACGTGCTTGTCCAGGGCACTGCAACACAAGACCTTTTCTGAAGTCAGGTCTCTCAAAGAACAAGGCTGCTAGCTGCCTGAAGAGCACAGTCATGCCGCCGAGATCTGCGACCAGAGAGCTGCGAATGGCACAGAGAGTGAACCAGCAATTTTCGCAACCCATTGCATGCTGTCCCAAAGGGAGCAGGCTCCAATATACGGCCTGGACCTTTCTCCGGTTGGAGTGCTTGAGTTGGTTGCCCGGAGCCAGCTCGTCGGAATACCACACCAATCCCCATGGTTGAAGAATGCTGGGGGGTGTGGCATCCATGGCCCTCTCCAGGAACTCGCCAAATGGTCGACATCGCTCTGTCGCCCAGGCAAGCATTGCAGCTGGGTTCAAGACAGGAAATTCAAACTCCACACCAGTTTCGGCAACACACTTGAAGTCGCATAGGATCTCGCCATAAGCAGTTTGGTAGCTCCGAGTCTTCTCATCCCGGGCCCGCTTCAGTGTTCGGCGACTCGTCCCAGATGGCAACTCGGGCAGCTCTTTGAGTTCCTGCAAGACCTGACTGAGACCTCGCTGGGATACATATGATTTCCTTCCCAAGCAGGAGAGCGAGGAGCTCCCGGCGGAAGCCATGGGGTCTGCTGGCGAGCTCTTGGCCCTGCCGAGCGACCCACTACTTTGACTGCAGATTCATACATATATATATATGTATATCTGTATAAAAGGTATACTATATATAGGAAAAGTGGATGGGAGCATGCAGGCACTGTGTACGTACCTTATATATCTATATATATATACAGAGATATGTTTTGTTTACATGTATATATGCATGCTCTTTGTTCCTGCAGGTTTCCAAGCATATTGCTGCAACGGTGCAACCCCACTGCGAGCAGTCCGGGAAACTCCAGTGCAAGGCCAAGACAACCTTTAACCATAAACCCGAAACTAAATATTTGATATATATATATATATATGTATACACAGAAACCCGAAAGCTATAGATATATAGCATCCGAGTATTGATTTGTACACATATATATACATGTATATACAGTATATATATATAGTATATACCACACCAAACCTAACCTAACACCAAACGTGATCCTGAGACACATCTTAATAAATCGCAAAGCCATATATAATATATACATGTACAACTCGAAAGCTTCAACATAGCTCTCGAAGAAGGGTCCACATTCGCACCCTCCTAAAAGGACACCCCTGTGTGTGTATATATATATATCAATATATATTCAACCCATATATATATATATATATATATATAAAGTATATATAGGCTCCTATATATATATATATACATCCCATATGTAAAGTATATCTATCTATATATGTATATAACACATATATAATATGCCACGAAACAAAAACCCGGATCGTGCAGGCATCCTGCACCACCGCTTTTGACACCTGCCAGGATCGCTTCGGTCTTTCCCTCCGTGGCAAGCGATGCTCCCAACATTATACCTCCCGAGGTACAATGCCTTTAATGTACACACAGCCTTTGTGAAAGATGAATAATAAGGTGCATGCTTCCTGGAGGCTCGCGAACAAAACTTTGCTGATGCTGGAAGACACCAAAACACGTCAACATGCATATAGACTTAAGATGTATACACTCTGCCTGTAGCCTCCAAACTCTCACCCTATATAGGACTCCAGCTGTGCATGCTTTCAGCAGCTGTTGATGCAATCACGGGCCAAAGCACGACGGTGTGCAGCCGGGCCTGTTCCGGCACTTGCCACACCCATTGGGTCGCAGCTTGATGCGAGCCGACAAAGTCATGCATCGGACCTCTTCTCGAGTGAACTTCTGCAAAGCCTTCTGGACCTTCTTCGGCTGCGACTTCGCCTTCGCCTTGCAAGCAGCCTTGGCCTTCGCCTTGGGCTGCGACTTTGCTTTGGGCTGGGACTTCATGGCCGTGCACTTGGCCTTCGCCTTAGCCTTGGCCTTGGCTTTACCCTTGGCCTTGGCTGCAGCCTTGGGCTTCTTATTTGCCTTGTGCTTCGCCTCGTTTTCCTTGGCCTCGGCCTCGACGGTGCTGTCGAACCCTTTGTTGTCGCCCTTCCAAGCTTGAAGCATTTCATCTGCATGTTGTGCAGCACTGACAGGATCCTTGCTGGCCAGCACTCCCTGTTGCTCGGCCTGCTTTGTTCCGCTGCCCTGTGCCGGTTCATTGGTAACTGTAGGAAGCTGCAAGGCCTGCTGTTGAGCAGGCGAGGAGGCCATCGTCCCAGACGAGGCGGCAGCAGCTGGGTCGCCGAAGATTTTCAACCCAGGCAATCCATCGTTCTTCTTCGCCAATTGCTGCTGCTGGTTGAACATGTTAGCTGCCATGCTGCCCCAGAACTGCATCATACCCTGCATGGTGTGGGGCATGTGCATTGCCGGGCCTGCTGCTGGACCACCCAGCACCATGGCAGTGTTGCTCTTGTGGAAAGAGAGGCTTTTGTTACTGCCACGAAGAGCATCACGGGCCAGCACCATTGTTCCAGGCAGCTCACCTCCCAAGGCATCTGCGAAGCGATCTCGGGTGTGTGGTGGAAGATCCTCAGGCCGAGTGTACTTGGCGACGAACTCGCCACAGGAAGCATCTTTGAGCATGGTCTTCACCTTCTTCTTGAGGCACACGACAGCCGAATGGAACTCGTCGGGGCTCTGCAAGCCAGTATTGTTGCAACTCTGCAGGGTCTTGATGATGTGTCCCACAGACTGTTCTGATGGCCAGAACATCTCCAGTCGAGCCATTATCTGAGCAGTGTGAGTCAGCCTCATGACGAGGGTGTCGTCGCTGGACAAAACTCTCCGGTCCTCGGCGCCCAAGAAACCCCAGAAGTTGAGAATTTCCTGGTTCTTCTTCTTGGCCTTGGCATTTGCTGGAGTGCTGCCTGCCAAGGTCTGGGAGACGGCTGCACCCAGGGCCTGCTTCTGCTCGTGTGACCAAAGGCCCTGCTGCACCAAGCTGCAGATCTCTGCACCCTCCTCGACTGTGATGTGGCTTTGACGAATCGTTCTGATGGCGACCTCGCTCTGAGCAGCCAAGAGAGAAGTCCATTGATCTCCCATGATGGGCTGCTGGGTCTGGAGGAGCTGGTTCAGCTGTCGAAGGAAAGCAGCTGCCATTGCACGGCCGGATATAGCACAGATGCTCTGCACAAAGCGAGCTGCTGTAGCCCTGCTTGCGAACACCTGTCTATATAGAGCAGCAGCGGGCAGCAGGCAGATGATGGAGTGCATGTGCTTTGCAACACACAAGCATGCAGCCTGCCACTGGAGACGTCTTTCACATTGCATGCAGTCACAGACCGGAAGACTTCACCAAAGGGGTCTCGGTTTCGCAGGCAGGGCTCTGAGCTCGCCAGCAGAACCCGTAGACACCCTCAAGAGCACAGCCATGTTACTACAGTATACCGACACCTGCAGGCATGCAAGTGTGTAATATATGTGTATGTAAGTTCAGAGATTCAGTCCATTTCATATACACATAAATATATATACACATATATGTATGTATATATATATATATATGTGTATATAAGAATATATGAACGATATGTTTTGGTATCTGTATATGTATATATATATATATATACATATCGTGTATATATACATATATATATATATATATATGTATGTGTGTGTGGGGTAGATACACATCTCACATGTAATAGGTATATATGCAGAGTGTGTAAAACTGTGTATGTATATGTACTTCAGTGAAATCCATGCAGCCACTTTGCTATGTAGCAGTCTCTTCCTTCACAGCCAACCCCCCCTCCCTCCAACCCCCTTGTACCTTCCCTCGCTCACTCGTTCTCTTCTCTGTCTCTGTCTCCCTCTCTCCCTCTCCTCGTTTGTTGCTCTTTGTCGCAGACACAACACACACACACACATGTTGCCATGGGGGTCTGTGTGCCTCATGGGCCTGACCAAACGGTGCACACTCGGAGGATGGGCGGTTTTTCTTCAAACTGGCCCATATGGTCTGTGGTCGTGAAACAGTCACAGGACGAGGCCCCGGTAGCCCGAAGCCTCGGCTATACAGGGGGAGATAGCCCCCTCGCCGATTCGTCTTCTGCAGCCCAAAGCTATTTCTTACCTATATAGTTTTCCTACTTATTGCCTAGAGAGGCCAGAGGACAGGGAACCACGAGGGCACTGGGAAAGCAACCCTTTATGCATGCATAAGGGGCCTGACCCCAAAAACCCGAAACCTTTATGTATGCATAAAGGTTTGTGCCCTTGGCCCTGCCGAGGTTTATGCATGCATAAGCCCCGCCCTAGGAAACTGAACCCAGCCATATGCATGCATAAAGTTCCGGTCTATTTTGCTTAAGGGGCTTTATGCATGCATAAACCCCGGCCATCGGGACTGGTAGCCCTGACCCTCTGTGCCCGAAGCGGCGAGCCGGAAAATGCCCCCAATTTCAGGTCCTTCGCTGCTCACAGCATGCAGGACCTTGGGATCCAAGCAAGCAGGCCAGGCCGTATATAGAGCAACACAGGCGGTCTGAGCTTCCAACTATTAGCGGCTCCCCTGGTCTCCAGGCCACAAACCAGGGGTGCCAGGCAGGAACCATGGGATCCTGCCAGGCATTATAAGTTTCAACACCATCAGGACAGAAAGGCTACTCGGTCACAGCACAGGCCTCAACGGACTCGCTTTTCTTGAAGGTTCATCGTCTCGGCCATGACCCCCATGGTGTGGAGGGAGGCCCGCAAGTCCTGCATGTCGGGGCTCGCGGTGTCTTCAGCTTTGCTGTTCTCGTGGATTGGCAAGCAGCAAGGGTCCTCCATGTGGCTTCGGGATTCCTCCAGTGCCCCTTGGGCCTGGAGTGCCCGGACACCTTGGCCACCACGTGTCCGGGCCCTCTTTCTCCCCATGCCCGCCGCCCACTCCTGCAACGGGGCCAGCAGCAAGCAGAGGCAAACCTGAAGCACCATCACAAAGACCAAGGCAAGCCTGGCCGTGCTCGTCGATGAAAGCGACCTGCCCAAGAAGACTGCATCAGTATAGAGACAAGTGCAGTCGTGCATGCCAGACCCAAAGAAAAAGCCTTGGGCTTCACGTAGTGCCCTTTGCCCTTCGAGTCCGGCATCAGATCTCCTCAATCCAGACAACAAACACTTGCAAAGAAGCCTGGCTCCAGACAACCACAAGAAGTCCTTCGTCCCAGTTCGCGGGCAAAGCCTGCCACAGATGCAGCATGCATTATATACACAGTGAACAGCTATATGCTTGCTGTCCTTGGTCTTTGGCACGGGGTCCATGTACCTCTTCGGAGGCGGCTCCTGCAATCAAACAAGAAGTACATTATATCGCCTTACGAAGAAATTCCGCCTTCGGCTCCGCTGGGCGCTGCTTCTTGCTGTTCGCCGGCTTCAGCACAACTGGCGAGCAGGCACACTAGATATGTACGATGGAGCAGCATGCAAAAGCAGTTGCAATGACATGTCGGGCATGCTGGGCTCGGCCGCTGGATCCTCGACGTCCACCTCCACGGTGTCCGACTCCTCGTGGCCTGCATGCTGCAACTACATGGATATATACATATGGACTCCTTGAGCTTCAAATACCCGGCCTTCCAGGCATATCACAGAAGCTTTAAAGTCTCCCACATCGTCGTTCCAGTAGAGCCACCCGCCTTAGGCGACAACGGTTTTCTTCTACCCAAATTAAGAAAACACCTAGGACCAGGGCTGGCAGGCACGTTCATGGCCTGCACGTCTGGGTGCTTGAAGTACATGTCACCTGCACGAGTGCACGAGCCAATTCACTTGATTCCATGCAGACACTATATATAACTGCAGCCTCCAACAGACAGGATCTTCCACCCCATCTTGGCCGACCAGGAAATCGTGGTGCCTGCAAAACAATTGCAACCAAATGAAAGGCTATATATCCATATCACTTGCATGGGGGCACCGGCCTTCATCATTCTTGTATTTCCCCCTCCCGGACTTCGAGAAGTCCGTGTGGAGCTGCAGCCGCTCCACCACATCGGCCTGTTATTTTTGGGGCGGTGGCATGTGTGTGCATGTGGTTGTACAGGGGCCCCACCTCCACAGCGGAGGGAAGGCTTCGCGACAAGAAGCTAAAGGACATCATCACTCCCAAAAACCACGGCAGCTTCACAAGCCAAAAGAGCTGAAAAAGCAAGCATGGCGCAGACGTGGCACCCACTGCAACAAGGGCAAATGTGCATGCAGAAACACGACACCAATGTTCAGAGAGCTTCGGTCGATGTCGTCTGTCCAAAGACAGCATCGGGCAATCAAAGTGTGGAGCCGTTGTGAGTTTGCATCATTGACAGTAATATATACATATGTATATATATATATATTTTTTTCACGGTGTGTTGATACATACTATACATCAAGTATATACACATTGCATGGATGCACGGAAGATACATGCGAGACTGCATGCAGAATCACTTCTTGGCCTTCGCCGGGGAGCCAACGATGCCCTTCGGGGCCGGGTTCTTGGCCGGGGAGCCATTCAGGATGCTCTTCAGGGCCGGGCTCTTAGCTTTTGCCTTGGCCTTGCCCTTGGCTTTCGCCGCTGGAACCTTCTTGGCCTCCTTGTCGGAATCCTCGCTGGCATCGGTCTTGTCCCGGGAGCTGTGCCTTCTTTTCTTCCGATCGACAGGCATTTGTCGATTCGCCTGCTCCATGAGCCAATTGAAATTTTCGGAGAGCATCTCCACGAAGATGCTCCCGGTAGACAGGCCCTCGCTGAGGATCGACAGCTGAAAGCCATCGATCGTAATGTCGACGATCGCCGGCAACAGGTGCAAATGCTTGGCCAAAGCCTTCACCTTATCCTTCTTGCTTTTCTTCTTCTTGGGCTCGTCGTCGGCTTCATCGTCCCTCAGGGCCTCTTCCAGCAGCTTGTCGCAAGCAGCCTGCCTCTTCTCGATCAAATCGTCAAAGAGCTTTATGTTCAGCGACCCCGATGATTCCCCTTGGCCGGACCGCAAGTCCAGTCGTTTGCCTGTGATCATTTTCACAAGCTGCGGGGACCATTTCGAGACAGCACAGAAGACCCGGTCGTCGACACTCTTTTGGGTTGGCATCCAGCTTCGGTCACCCAGCACGACAACCTGTTTCGTCACAATCTCGAAGCAAGCCATGATGATGCGATGCACGGGGGAAATGGTTTGATGCGAGGCTGGAGCTGTTTTCTGCCGGCGAGCACACATGCCCTGCCTAGGCGAAAACGACACATCCATGCAAGCAGCAACTTCAACAATGCACCTGCACTTCATCACGGGCGATGCATCCTGCACTTGCATACAGAAGCATAAAACTGCACTGCATTTCCATCCGCAAAGCACAAGCTCGCACACCTGAGGGATCCTCGCACCATGCAGCTGCACAGAACACTCTATGAATGGTCGCTCTATAAAAACCATGCCCCTCGGATGCTTGCAACCTGCAACAATTGTATCCTTCTCCGCAATGCATTAGAAACAGACCTCACATATACATACAATGGAATCTTTCAGATACTGCAAGCTCAAGCAATGGCTGCTGCTGGTATAGCAGCACACTGGACTGCATACGGATGCCGAAACATCACTTCTTCTGAGCCTTCTTGCTGGAGCCACCTGAGCTCGCCGATGCTCTTTTCTGCGCCGAAGTCTTGTGGTCGTCCTCCACTTCCTCCAAGGGAGCCACCTGCACCGTTTTAGATCTGAAAGCCACAATGGGGCTGCCTTCCGGGATCTTCTTGGTGTTCTTAAAAACCGGAATCTTGATGCTCTTCTCTGTTCCCGCAATCCAAACAAGCTTCACATTGCAATCCTCTTCCTGATGGCTGTGCTGCACCAACCAAAAGGGAACTACCACATGTTTGCAAGTGTCGTCGTCGTTATCTTTGGGTAGAATGTTGGCTCCGGAAAGCCAAAACTTGCGGTCGTCTCCTTGCCAGTCCGTCTGCACCTCAAACATGGTGTTGCCTTGGCCCTGGGATTTCTGCACGACCTTGTTGGTCATGGGCACCATGCAGAGTTTCTTGATGTCCGAGTTGGCAAGCAACATCCTCGAAGGCTTCAGCTGCAATTTCAGGTGCTCCGATCCACACTCCATGGACTGGTGAAGCTTGTAGAGCTCAAGCTGAATCTTCGATGCAAGAATGCTGGCATCAAAATCCACATGGTGCTGGTACTGGTCCAAGCTGTCTAGCATTGTGGGCTGCACACGAGGAACAAACACGACCCAATCTCCAGCCAGGATAACATTGAGATCCACCTTGGCCGTCTTTCCCGAAGCCATCTTCACAAAGACCATCTGACCTTTCACTTCTGAAAGAACTCCCTCGATTTTGTCAACCTTGCGACGGATGTGTGCACCCATAGCGAAACCCTTGGAGGCCAATATCTTCTCAGGTTCCTTGATACTGCCGTCTTCAGCAAGCTCAAGCATCACACCTGCAGCAGAAGGCTGGGAAGCAGTCGCTGCAGTTGCAGCTGGTTCACTTTGCTCAGACACCGACTCCCATGGCAAAGGGAGTGCAACACCGGTCAGGTTTCTTGCCACGAGCAAAAAATCGTGCCCAATCGCTTGGACTGTTTTGTACTTTTTCTCGTCCGGCACCTTGATGCCGAGGACGTGCGATGCTATCGTCATATCCATAGTGGCCAGAGCTTGCACGACCCGCGAATCCGTCATGAAATCGCGAGCTCCATCCCTTAAGATGCCCCTGACCGTGAGGATCATGTTGTCAGCTTCCTTGACCTTGGGGAAGAGTTCTTTAGAAGTCATCTTCTTCACATCAGCAATGGTCACATTCTGCCTCAAGTATGCCTGCTTCATGAGTGCATGGCGAAATGCTGCAACGGGATCTGACTGGTGCCCTCGGCAATCTTGCCCGAAAGCCTCCCACAGGACAGGCCCCAATTGCCGAGAAGAAGGGCAGTAAGCCCGCACAAAGGACTCCGTCTCCTGAAGGAAGCTCGCATCGGCACCCCCGGAAGCCTTCAGACAAAACGTAAACATGTGGGGTACGGAGGCATGGCAGCTTGGTTTGCTGGCCAATATCAACTTCTTCAGAGATGCAAAAGCCGGTGCTTGGCCAGTCTGAGTCTGCAAGCGGTAGTACGTGGAATGGATGCGACGGAGTACTTGTAGCTCATGTTCTCCTCGTTGAAGCGATGTGTTGCCTGACCGGGATATCAAGCTGATCAGCTCTGGGAACTCTTCCGCCACGGAGGAGGAGATCACGTCCCACGTCAGGCCTTGATCAGCTGCTTCGTGGAACGAAGCATCCCGAGCACGAAGAAGCTCCATGCTGAGCTTTCCACCCACACTCACGACCTCGTTGCCGTGGCTTGCACCTTGTTGAAAAAGTCGCAAAGCGCAATTGGTATGTGATCCGCAGATCGAAGTGATCTTGATCGCTTCCGGCTCAAGGCTTCCGAGAAGACCGTGGGCTGACTCGAACAGCTTCTTGTTCCACTGCCGGACCCAGTCTCCTTCGACTTCGACACCGACCGCATGCACACGTGTGGGGACATAGCCCACATCGACAATCGAGTCCACAAGATCACGAACGTCTTGTGGATTCACTCCGTACCCATCCCGGTTGCAGGGATGGATCCCCACAAGGCTCGCCTCCAACTTCATGGAGGTCAAGAGATGCTTGGACTTCAAGTAGTTCAAGCAGTTCTCCACGATTCGGACAAGGCCGTCGCCATCCGAGGCTTCTCGAAGGAAAGCCTGCAGCCGCTCTCGCACATCCGACTGCAAAGGCATGATGGGCAAGCGAGATGGAGGACGGAGCTGAAAATCTGCCTGCGAGCCAAGGGCCCTGCAATGGCGATAGATGGCTGCAATGCATGGAGTCATGCACAATACACAGAAGGCAAGCATGCGAGCATGTCCTCAACACATGCAATGCAGCAGCTTTCCATGCAATTTTCAATTGCATCCTGAATACATGCGGCAGGAGATCTCCATGCAAGCTTCCGTTTCAAGCTTTGCAAATGCCAGGAAAACAACTTCAAATAAACAACTTACACCACTTACCTAAATCAGTTACACAAAGTTATCTAAGTTTGGCAAGTTGCTTAAAAGACTTGTTCTATCTTACTTATAAGTTCCACCCTGCTTTTGGCTAAGTGACTCAACTGCTTGCTCCACTTCTTAATTCAAGCCTCGGACTTGCTAAGTTGTCCATACAACATAGTATATATACAGCACTTATAACTCATGTTAACGAACTTGTAACTCAACTTAACCTGATTGTCTAAATCTCCTAAACCATGTATTCGATTACTAAACACCCCGCCCCTTCAAGTAGTGTATATACGCAGCGTATACGCAGCGTATACGCAAGCGTATATCATACGCCGACGTTGGAATTACGCGGATGTAGATTGTATACGCTAGTGCGCAATATGCGACGTAGGATCCTGTCGGTAGCAGGTGAAGTTCGCACTTGGCTCTCGCAGCTAAGAGCGGACTACCCCGCTTTAGAGTGGGACACCTCGTCCAACCTATTCCGGGTCCCGTGGCTTGTCAGGCATGTGGCCTGGCTGCAAGCCCGGTTCGGGACCAAGTCCACAGACGGAGTGACACCATATCGGGCAGCCACTGGCACCGACTATGGTGGAGCACTTTGCTCCTTTGGGGAAACCGCAAGGTCCGGGAACAAAGCGCAGGTGCGCTGGGTCAAAGGGGTCTGGGCCGGCAAGCTGGAGCGCGACGACTCACACGTGGTGCTAACCGAAGCGGGCGCACTCAACGTGAGGAGCGTCAGGCGAAAACGGCAGCCGTCCTCAAAGCGTGCGGCCTGCCTTGGAACCCTACCGGGACGGTGGTTTCACTATATCCAGGTTGTGAATAATTTACATCTGAGTCATAAGTAGGATATCCTAGTTATAAGTGATTTATAAGTTCTGCGAGATTTATAGACTTGTGGTGGACTTAGCCGTAAGTTATAAGTGCAAGCTAAGTACGAGAGCTGGAACTTAGCTCGGACTTATATTGAATTTATTTTTTAATGAATTTATCGTGTTTTGGGGGGCTATATACTGCCAACCAAACCGCTTTCCTGCATATTGCGTTTGCCGTTGAACATTGCTGTGTTTTGGCTCAAATCATTTCCTTCGGAGCAGCGGAACCGTCTAAGTATACATACACGCGTTGTCGCTGGCATAGGTGGCATAGCTGCCGCCGCGAATCCCGTGGCAGCCCCGGGTCGCACGCCGACCGATGCAGGATTACACCGGCATGCTATCGTTCGTGTCTCCGCAGCTGCTGGCTGTGTTGACCGAGCCCACTGCCAGTGTTGAGGAAAGACGGCTGGCTTTTGTGTATAGAGCATGCTGTGAGCATGGGCCGTGCTAACGGCCATGGTGCCGCACAGAGGATAGAACGTATTTATCAATGCGTTCGAGCTGTTTGCAGCTCAGGAGGTGCGTGCCGCATGCAAACGTTCGGCACACGCACCTTCAGGTGCAGCTTCTGCAAACGGAGCAGGACTCGCACTCCGCTCGGCTCTCCCTTTGGGAGCGGTGGATCCAAAAGCTCCGCAGTTTTGCGATGCTAAGTCGAGGAACTGTGCCCGCAGCACTTTCACCATGTCCGCGGGGTGTCCGCGTATGTCCGCGGTGAATCTCCACGGTCGGACGTCATGATATATGCGGCCGTGTCCGCGGGGTGTCCGCGCACTCATAGTTTATATAAGGATCTATGAGATAACAGGGATCAGGTAGTGTCCGCGGGAAAAGACCGTGTCCGCGGGGTGTCCGCGGGGCTTTGGGCTGCATGCCTGGATTTCGTAAAGTCGCGTCTTGCTTCTCCTCTCACACGTCGTAGGAAATGCAAAGATGCTTCCTTTGCCCTCTTGTTTTCGGCTCCCAGCTCGTCCTCCCTTAAGCCTCTCCAGTCGGTCCGCTGCCATGGCTCTGGTGCTCTCGCTTGCAGAGAGCCCTCTGTGGGCCCAGAGTGTGCTCTCTGCCGCCAAGTCAAGGCTGCAGGCCGAGTGCACGGAAAAAGGTTTCTTTGCAAAGACTGCGAGTCTCTGCAGAAAGCGGTGCAGCGGAACTTGGGCAGCTTGGACAAGGTCAAGACCTTGTCTCCGGACCTGCAGCTTGAGTTCTTTCAAACCGCGACGGACAAGCCCACTGGCCAGCACGTGGACTGGAAAACCGTCAGTGGTCCATTGCTGAAGTTGGCGACTGAGTGTTTGGGTGGCACGTGGCTGGTCGGCAGACACCGTGTGGAGACAGGAGACGAAGACTTGCCCTAAGCTGGGAGAAAAACTGCTGAGTTTGTGTCCTTTGCTATAGCTCTTGGTGCTAAGTAACTTAAATGAAAAAACATAAATGTTTGGACGGTCACTGGACTTACGGTGGACTTATATCGGACTTATAAGTCACTTAAAAGTTCATGTGCTAAGTTCAATACAAGTTACTTGTAAGTGTAATAAGTACACCGCCCTCAAACCACAGTCCTGGTAGATTTGGCCGCGCAGCGCCAGCAGAGCGCAGCGAGCCCATGATGGTGCCAATCCCTCTGGCCACGCCGGCCGAGGAAGTGGAGCGGCTAGAACCGCCCGGTGAGCCCTGGCTCTTCAGCGACGGGCCGCGGCCCGACGACGAGGCCCTCTTAGTCGAAGGGGCCGAGCAGGCCAGCAGGCTCCCGGACGCCAGCCCTACCGAGCTGGCCAACGTAGAAATACCGGACTATCGTCGACGTAGAGGCAGGACCTTCCGCAGCAAGCACGCTGCCGCAACAAGCGGCAAGCCCCGCCCCAGCCGCCAACGACGGCTCAGGCGAAGGGGGGCAGAAGCGCGACCCTGCGGGTTCCTCCGCGAGCGCAGCGGCAGCACAGCAGCCGCCTGCAGCTAAGAGCCGGGTGGAGCCCAAGAAGGCACCACGGCTAGGAGCGCTCACTGAGCGCGAGGTGTGGCAGCACATCGCTGCCTTAGCCGACCCGCCGCTCACCAACCACCAGGGCGAGCGGGACGCGTGGTCGGGCAGGTGACAGACCTGCTAGACCGCATGCTTGACCCTAAGCAGGTCGAGCAAGCACGCAAGGAGCAGCTGAGAAAGCTGTGGGACCGAGGCGCTTTCACGCCTGTGCTGCGGTCTGAAGTACCGCGCGGGGCGCAGCTGTTCAGGGCAAAGTGGGTCGACAAGTGCGACAAAGGGCGGTACAAGTCAAGGTGTACCTGTGCCGACGCTAAGGCCCGCTACAGCCCAGAACAGGAAGCTGGCTTGGACGTTTTCGTCCCAACGCCAACGCCCGAGAGTCACTCCCTACTTGAGGTAGCAGCGCTACACAACGAGGGGTGGGTCACAAGGTCTCTGGATATTGTGGCCGCCTTCCTCATAGGGAAGGACCGCGGTGCGGCGGAAGGCCGCCCGGTCTACATGCACGCGCCTGTGGAGTGGCGCGAGCTCTTTGACCAATGGGTCTTGGAGCAGCCTGCAAAGGACCAGCAGTGGTACCGAGACCACTTCCGGGACTTTGTGTTCCGTGTGGACAGCAACCTTTACGGCCGAAGAACGGCTGGTTCCGTCTACAGGGACGAGCTGGAAGAAGTCCTCACCGGCAAGCTGGCCAAGGACTACGACTTCCAGCGGGGCGTGAAGGACCCGTGCGTGTACCTAGACCGCCGGTCCGGCCTAATCCTTCTCCACCACATCGACGACATCCGTGTCGCAGGCCCCAAGGCCGCAGTGCTGAAGTTCACGGAGGTGGACCTTCCGACGCACTGTGAGATAACGGTGGGAGAACTGGAGGAGCCGGGCACAGCGGTGGAGGTCCTGGGAAGGACCAAGGTGCGCACAGAGGACTCTATCCTCACGCTACCCGACAGCAAGCACGCAGAGAATGTGTGCGAGCAGCTGGGCATCGGTCCAAAAGACAAGGGGACCGCGCCTGGCAGACCTCTAGACCTGACCAAGGTCGAGGAGCTCTCTGCGGGTTCCGCAGCGCCGTGGGTAGTGCTATCTACCTGTCGGCGGACAGGCGAGACATACAGTTCGCCGTGAAAGAGCTGGCGCGAAGGATGCAGAACCCCAGGGTCTGCGACTGGCTCGCTGCGGAAACCCTCGCGCGATACCTGCGGGCAACCCCGCGGTTTGGAAGGGTAGTTGCGCTGGACCCCGCGTCCAAGAGCACAGCCCTTCTGAACTTGGAGGTCTACTCCGACTCCGACTGGGCAGGGTGCCCAGAAACGAGAAGGAGCACAGACAACATAGTCGCCTGTCTCGGGGGAGCAGTCATCCAGACAAGCTGCCAGACACAGCCCGGCCTCCCAGCCACCTCCAGCGGAGACGCGGAGATCCGGGGAGTGTCGCGAGCAGCAAGGGAGGCCGTCTTCCTACGAGAGCTTGCGGAGAAAGACTTCGCCCTAGCCTGCGGCTTGCCGCGGCTCTGGGCCGACTCCGCAGCTTCGATCGGAGCCGCCAAACGCATAGGACCAGGGTCTAAGTTGAGACACCTGGAAGTTGCAGAATGCTATGTACAAGGTGCGCTCAGAGCCAAACTTCTCGAACTGAGAAAAGTTAAGGGAACCGAAAACCCGGCAAACTTCGCTACCAAGCACGCGAAGACTGGACCGGAGGTGCGGCAATCCCTGCCCTCCATGGGCATGGTGGACCTCGATGCGGTCGCAGGCGCCACCGAGGCTCTGGCCCAAAAGGGCACGATCAAATCGATCCAGGCAAGCCCCTGGAAAATGAGACCGCCGACCAAGCTTGCAAGCTCGGCGCTCATGGCCACAATCGTGGCGCTGCAGGTTCGACCTGCCAAGGCCCAAGGGCACGACTTCGCAGAGCTGGTGCTCGGCTTCGCGGCCCTAGGCTGCCTGGCCTTCCTGTGGATGCTTTGGGGTTTAGTCTCCTGGCTCTGCAGGTGCAGACGTGACAGGCAGGAGCCGGAGCCCGAGGATGAGATCGAGCACCACGCCGAGCGTGCCGAAGAGCCGCCGCGTGCAGCTCAAAGGGCCACTGAGGTCTGGCTAGGGCCAGAAGCGCCCCAAAAACGAAAGAGGAAAGGTCTAGGGGGGCGAGCCAGAACCTGAGGGTGAGCGGACCCCAGGTCCGCCCCCTGCGGCAGCTCCTCCACCACCGCCGCCCGCTGCACCAAGGTGCGGCGCAGGCGTAGGGGACCGGAACCCCTGTCCGGGGACGACGAGCATGTCTACGAGACAGCCCGCGGTGACAAGATCCATCTTTTCACCAACTGCAATGGGCTGAGCTCCGTCCCGCGCCGGATCAAATCCTGATCGGTTTTCGCTGCCATTGCGCAGCAGATCCTCAGAACACCGAGTACCTCTGGACCGGGTTCGCTTTTCAGGTGGCCACCGGCCGCGTCGTGCGCCGATACCATGGCCAACAGCGAGGCTGCCCATTCATGGAAGGGGCAACGATCAGACACAGGGTGTGTCTCCACTGCCGCAACGGGCACCAGAGCACCAAGCCCGGCAGTGTGGTGAACAACTCCCGCCAGTGGGTGCCTCCACCGTAAGAGGCCCCTAGCGCGCGGGTAGCACCGCAGGGCGAGCCTTTCGGCTGCCAGCCCTGTGCGCGGGACGCTCCGCCCTACCAGGGGCGTCTCACCCTCCGACTGCGGGATGCCCCGCGGGAGGCTTTCTCAAACCCCTACCTCTAAGGGGGGTGCGAGATTTTTGTAGGCTACACTAGGAAACCTAGGTAAGTAGCTGTACAGTGTAGAGAGAAGAGGGTTTGAGCTAAAGGGCTTTAACCTGACTGCGACTCACCGCAGCCCTCTTTGCAGAGTGTAGAAAAAGAGCCCAATACGCGACCCAACCTCCGCGCAGTCTGGAGAGAGACTTCAAGTTTGAATGTCTGGACAGACACTTCAAGCTTCCTTGTCTGGAGAGACATTTTCAAGCTTCAGTGTCTGGAGAGACACTTCAAGTTTGAATGTCTGGACAGACACTTCAAGCTTCCTTGTCTGGAGAGACACTTTCAAGCTTCAGTGTCTGGAGAGACACTTCAAGTTTGAATGTCTGGACAGACACTTCAAGCTTCCTTAAGTTGTCTGGAGAGACACGAACTGCATCGCAGAATGTCTGGACAGACATGAATGGAAGCACGTGCTGGCATGGCAATATGACTTGGAATATGTGATATTCCGGCTCGAGATCCAGCGAGCCCCGCCCGGCCAGCAGAAGTCTGAAGCCCAACCGTGCTGCCATGGAGAAGGGCGGCCAGAAAGGCGACAAGGGCGGCTACAAGGGCGGCCAGGAAGGCGACGAGAAGGGCGACTTCAAGGGCGACCAGAAGGGCGACCGCAAGGCTCCTACTCGTTGTTTTGAATGTCTGGACAGACATGCAGCACGTGTCTGGACAGACACATGAGATGCTCGTGTGTGGATTGACAGGGACGTGACCGGGACCTCGGCAAGGGCAAGACGAAGGATGATGTCCCGGGGATCCGGGAAGAGAGACTTCGCAGAACTCTAAGTACCCCTAAACCCCTAAACCCTGCTAAACCCTGCTAAGCCCCCAAACCCCTATCCCTGCAGCTGAGGAAGAGCGGCACGTCCAGCAGACTTTGGCGAGAGAACTGGCGGAAAATCTGGATGGAATATTCCCCTGACATCAACTTCGAGACCCTTGGCAGAATTGTTTTTAGTGTCTGGATAGACACGAGAACCGTGAAGCCCTAGGTGTAGCTTTCCCAGTGTCTAGTGTCTGGAGAGACACAGATAGGTGTAGCTTTCCCAGTACTAGTGTCTGCAGAGACACAGAGATTGCATGAGAGAGCTGAGGCAGTTCATGGGCCTCATCGTGGGGATGGCGAGAAAGATGTCGAAGATGGATGAGGGAACCCACGAGGCCCACCGGCCCTACTTGAGGAGAGTTTTTGAGCTCCTCAGCTGCATAGAGAATGTCTGGACAGACAGTTTGAGTGTCTGGAGAGACACCTGAGAACCAACAGCCTGAAACCCAGTAAAAGCGCCGAAACCCTAGACCCTAAACCCAACACCCTGAACCCTACACCCTGAAACCAAAACCCTGAACCCTAAACCCAAAAACATGAACCCCAAACCCTGAACCCTACACCCTGAAACCTAAACCCCGAACCCAAAACCCTCAACCCTGAACCCTAAACCCTGAATCCCTGTCAGTGTCTCCAGCCTCAAGACCTACGACAAGTTCATGCACTACCTGGCCAAGAAGGTGACTGAAGAAGATGATGATGATGATGATAGCCCCGGCCAAGGACCCTAGCTGATGACAATTTTGAAATCCTATCCCCTTGAACTCTTACAACCCCATTAAACCCGAAACCCCGGCCCTGAACACCGTAACAGAAAAACCATAGAAAACCTTAAACCCTAAAGCCTAAACGTCTTTTTCGGAGGACCGAGCACACCTGGGAGAGGAAGTGCAGACATGGATCACCGAGGACGTGGAGATGATGGTGCCAATGCTGGAGATGGCGGCAAGGGAGGTGGAGATGGTACGCATGGTGGAAATGGTGGCCATGGTGGAGATGGTGACAAGGGAGGTGGAGATGGTGCTTGGGGTGGTGGCCAGGGAGATGGAGATGGTGCCGCTCCGCCGGGTGATGAGACGTGGTCCTGGAACCAGGGCAGCTGGGACTGGTGGTCCTGGGGAGGCTCGCAGTGGGGAGGATCGTCGTACCGGGATGAGAACTGGCAGGGGGAGGATCAGACCGGCGAGAAGGAGCCTGGGCTTTATATTGTTTTTGTGTTTATATACAGAATGTAATGTCTGGAAAGACATATAGTACATGAGAAAACCCTGCAGGATGCCCCGAAGAAGAAGGACGACAAGGATGCCCCGCCGGCGAAGGACCAGGAGCCTTTGTTTTACATGGTTAATTGTTGTGTTTGTTTGGAAATATAATGTCTGGAAAGACAGGTGGCTTCATTGTCTGGATAGACAAGGTTTTTGATTTTTGTGCGAACCCCCCTAAACCGCCAAGGATGGCCCAGATGGAAAGAAGCAGAAGAAGAGCCAAGATGACCCCGAGGACCCAGGACCCCGACCCCGCCGAAAAAAATGTCTGGAGAGACAAGTGTGTGTCTGGAGAGACAAGTGTGTGTCTGGAGAGACACCAAGTTGTACCCAAACCTTAACCCAGTAAAAGCGCCGAAACCCTAGACCCTGAACCTTAAGCCCTGAACCCCACACCCTGAAACCTAAGCTTTGAACCCTGAAACCAAAACCCTGAACCCTAAACCCTGAAACCTAAACCCTGAAACCAAAACCCTGAACCCTACACCCTGAAACCTAAACCCTGAAACCTGAGCCCTGAACCCTAAACCCTGAACCCTGAACCCTGAAGGATCCATGGGCGGACGCTGAGAATGATCCATGGGCGGGGCAGAAGGAGGAGAAGCTGGTAGATTTTGAGGACTACGATGGCAATGCCAGCGATGATTTTTTCAGAGATCATGCAAGCTTTTTCAAGGTGTGCAAGGAGTGCAGCAGGATGTCTTTTGTCCACAGAGGGTCGGACATGAGACCAAACATCGAAGGTTGCATGGTCAGGTCCGGCAAGGGCTTCAGAGGTGCAAAGAAAGTCAAAGACCTTTGGAGACTTTTGCACCGTTGCTTTAACTTCAAAGGCCACAACGGCCTTTGAAAAGGCTCTCAAGGCACCTAGGAGATGATGATAGCTAGATTAGATGAATGCAGATGTTGAGGAGTGTTGTTTTGTGGAGTTTCTAGCAGCTGTGATGTTGATGAATGTAGATCCTAAAGATGTTGATGACTGAAAGGTGCCGAGCCTCCGTAGAGTAGCCTCTTTTGCATCCTCATGCGAGATCGCATGAAGGGATCGCCGAATGGCACAACGACGGGTGGAGTCCCGCGAGAAAAAGAGAGGGAGAGTGTGTGTGTGTGTGTGTGCTGTTTTGCAATGCTTTGAATGCCAGGACAGGCAGGTGGTGCACGCACCATTTTTTGTGCATGCCTGGATAGGCAAGCTGTTGCACATGCCTGGATAGGCAAGAGTTGTTGTGCCTGGATAGGCAAGTTGTTGTGCCTGGATAGGCAAGTTGTTGTGCCTGGATAGGCAAGTTGTTGTGCCTGGATAGGCAAGTTGTTGTGCCTGGATAGGCAAGTTGTTGTGCCTGGATAGGCAAGTTGTTATGCCTGGATAGGCAAGCTTGCTTTGTGCGGTGCCTGGACAGGCATTGTGTGTGTGCTCATTAAACAAATAACCCCTGAAACCCCAAACCTAAACCCTCAAACCCCTAAACCCTCGACCCCGAACCCTCAACCCTTAAACCCGTTGGGGTTTTGTTTGTGTGTGTGTGTGTGTGTTTGCACCATTGGTGTCTGGATAGACAGATGTCTGGAGAGACAAATTTGTTGTAATGTCTGTAGAGGTAAGCATGAAACCTTTATCGTCTGGCCAGATTTCCTATGTATTTTTGTTCAATCACTCATGAAACTTTTAGTGTCTGGATAGATTTTTCCGAAAGTCCCAACGTCATGAAACGTCATGTGTCGTCTTGTGAACCCCACTAAACGCCATGAAACGTCACAAGTTGTACTCATGACGGTTTTGGCGTCACAAGTACAACTCATGACGAATTATGGATGCCATGAAACGTCACAAGTTGTATTCATGACGATTCGTGATGTTTGGCCCCAGATCTTTTCTAGAAAATCTGCACACTCCTTTTATAATCCAGCCATGGCCGTGCAGTCCAAAATGAAAAGGCCAGCAGCCGCACAGGCCGGAGATTAGGAAAATCGTTTGATTTTTGATTGTACCAAAGAAAAAAACAGGAGAAGAAAGAAAACAAGAAGCCAAAAAACACAAAGGATCCCATGAAGAAGCCAGCAGCCAAGGACGAAATCTCTCTCCTCTCTCTCTCTCTCTCTCTCTCTGTCTCTCTCTCTCTCTCTCTGTCTCTCTCTCTCTCTCTCTCTCTCTCTCTCTCGCTCTCTACCCCGAAAAAAAACAAATTAACCCTCAACCCTAAACCTTCGACCCTGAACCCTTAACCCTTAATACTCCCTCTCTCTCGCTCTCGCTCTCTTGCTCTCGCTCTCTCGCTGTTTCTCTCTCCCTCTCTCTCTCTCTCTCTGTCTCTTTCTCTCTCTCTCTCTCTTTTCTTTCTCTTTCTCTTTCTCTCTTTCTCTCTTTCTCTCTCTCTCTCTCTCTCTCTCTCTCTCTCTCTCTCTCTCTCTGCAAACCAACCAAGAAGCCAGATCTCCCTCCATCCCTCCTTTTATTTTCTCTGTACATGTCTCTTTCTTTTTCTCTTTCTTTCTCTCTCACTCTTTCTCTCTCTCTCTCTCTCTCTGTCTCTTTCTCTTTCTCTCCCTCTTTCTCTCTCTCTTTCTCTGTCTCTCTCTCTCTATCTGTCTCTTTGTCGTTCTTTTTCTTTTTCTGTTTATCTGTCCCTTGCTCTGTCTCTCTCTGTCTCTGTATCTTTCTCTTTCTCTTGCTATTTCTCTCTCTCTCTCTCTCTCTGTTTTTCTTTCTGCTTCTCTCTCTCTCTCTCTTTCTCTTTATCTTTCTCTTTCTCTGTCTCTTTCTCTTTCTCGTTCTCGTTCTCTTGCTCTTGCTCTTTCTCTTTCTCTTTCTGTTTCTCTTTCTCTCTCTCTTTCTCTTTCTCTTTCTCTTTCTCGTTCTCGTTCTCTTTCTCTTCCTCTTTCTCTTTCTCTTTCTCTCTCTCTCTCTTTCTCTTTCTCTTTCTCTTTCTCTTTCTCTTTCTCTGTCTCTTTCTCTTTCTCGTTCTCTTTCTCTTGCTCTTGCTCTTTCTCTTTCCCTCTCTCTCTGTTTATCTTTCTCTCTCTCTCTTTCTCTTTCTGAACCGAAACCAAAACCGAAACCTAAACCACACCAGGGTCCCGAAACCCTAGACCGCAAATGCAGGACGACGAGACCGAGAAGGAGCCGGAGAAGGAGCCGGAAGAGGAAAAGGAGGAGGAGGAGGAGGAGGAAGAGGAGGAAGAGAAGGAAAAGGACAAGCAGCAGGTCACCCTAGCAAATGTGAAGACACACCAGGCTCTGCTGGATGCCAAAGGACTGAGCTCCCGCAGATTCAGAAGGCACTGGCAGGGATGCCTGAAAAGGAAAGGCAGAAGGTGTGGAAGAAGTTCGAGCGAAGGAGGACTAGCGAAGGAACGGAGGAAGAGTACCGCAAGTACTGCAGTGGCCCCGGTGCTCGAGACAAGCAGAACAAAGCTTTGGAGGCCTTCGTGAAGGATGGAAGAGCCTGTGGTGAGCTGTACACAAAGCAGATGTTGAAGATCACACACAAAGAGGAGCAGACAGTGGAAAGCCAGTGGAAGACGTGGAGGCCGGGACGGTTTAATGTCTGGAAAGACACAAGGAGGTCATGGGGAGTGTTAAGTTGTTTTAGTGTCTGGAAAGACAGCAGGAGGATGTGATTCTGATGCCTGGAAAGGCAGGGGGTCATGGCACTGTGTGTGTGTGTGTGTCTGTGTGGTGCCTGCCTGGGCAGGCAGATTGTCTTGACAGCTGCAGACTCATGCCTATGTCTGATTGTCAGGCAAATGAAAATGAAGTTTGGTAAGAAAGAGGCCCTGGCCAGACTGAGGAGCGGCTCGTTGAAGTTCCACAAGTCTCCCTCCGACTCGAGGTTCTTAGAGTTCTTGGACATGACAGAAGTGACAAGAGCCTCCTTCGCCAGAGAGAAGGGAGTGGTCGTCAAGAGCTCTGGAAAGAAGACAGACTCGAAGGCTTTGGTAGACCTGCAAGACATGGACCTCGCTGGACTGACTCCGTCGTGCTTCAAGAGCATGGACGTGGAACCGGAACTGAAAGCTCTGCTTGGTGGCCCGGACAAGAAGAAGAAGAAGGCAAAAGAGTCCTCGCAGGAGGAGGAAGACTCAGAGGAAGAGGAGGACTCAGAGCAAGAGTCCGGAAGCTCGGAAGCCCCTGCCAAGAAGGTGAAGACGAAGTCGCGAAACGCAGACAGCAAGGCTTCTGGGTCCAAAGCCGGGAAGAAAGAGGAGGACTGGGACACCAAGTCCCGCTTGGAGGAGAAGGACGGCAAGCAGCAGTTCTTTGACAAGCTTCCGAGCTTCAAGGAAGCCCTGGGAAAGGAAGAGACTGTCTTGCAGAAGTTGGTGTCGACAGCTGAGGACGAAGACCAGAGCAAGTTTCTGAAGACAGCAAGAACGAAAGCGCAGACGGCACAGAAGAAGATCGACAAGGCCTTGAAGAACATCGAGGACAAGAAGGAAGACAAAGCTGAAGTGAAAGCTGCTCTGCTCGAGGCCCTTGAAGCTTTGAAGAAGGCCAAGAAAGCCAAGCAAGCAGCAGACTAGTGAAGGAAAAGACTTGAAGAAGGCTTGCCTCTTAATTGCCTTTGACAGTTATGCTTCCAAACTCTTGTCTGTTTGCAGGAGGCATCGAAGCTCCTGGAGCTGAATGATCTCGCTAAAGTGAAAGATGGACTTGTGGAGGCAGCTGGTTTTTAGCTTCAAAGCTTGTAGCCTGGATGAGGCTAGCAGTGGCACCGGTAGGAGATGATGATAGCTAGCGAATGCAGATGTTGAGGAGTGTTGTTTTGTGGAGTTTCTAGCAGCTGTGATGTTGATGAATGTAGATCATAATGATGTTGCTGGCTAAAAGGTGCCCAGCCTCTGTAGGACTGAACTTTTGCATCCTCATGCAAAATTGCATGAAAGGATCGCCGAATGGCACAACGAGGGGTGGAGCCCCGCGAGTAAAAGAGAGAGTGTGTGTGTGCTGCTTTGCAATGCTTTGAATGCCTGGACAGGCAGGTTGTGCACGCCACTTGTGTTGCGCATGCCTGGATAGGCAAGCTGTTGCACATGCCTGGATAGGCAAGCTTTTGTTTACAGATATATGCTGCAGGGAAGCCAAGGGCCCTGATCACCCTGTCATGCACCGCAGCCCATTTCAGGTCCCCTAGAACCCGGAATAGCACAATGGGCAAGAAACAAAAAACCAGCCATGAGCCGCACTCGCCGCTTTTTTTGATGCTCGTGAGGCATCTTGCACTGGGCAAGCTGTCTGCTTCAGAAATTCATGAGTTTGCAGACTGTGCGGTGAAATCTGGAAGCTCAGCAGAAGACTTGCTGAAACTGCAGGCCTTAGGAGCCCATGGTGAATCGCCACAGAACTGCCACAGAGACATTTCCAGGTGGATCTTCAAGAACATGTGCTCCCCAGAAAGCACCAGCATCAGAACACCTGTTCTGGTCAGGGATTTGAATGGTGAGAAGAAGATGATGGAGAAGGACATCCCTGTGAACTTGCCCCATGCCTGGATCGACCAGCTCTCTGAGCATGGGTTTTTGGAAACAGTCATGGCTCCCGAAGCAGAAATCCGGACATTCTGGAGCAAGCAGCTCTGGAAAGAAAACCCTCAGTTCCGCCAGGATACAAAGTACTGGAAGGCCATAGATTTCCAGGCAGAGGCCCCTATCCCACTCGTGCTTCACGGAGACGCAGCTCCATATTCGGAGATTGACTCCACGATGGCAATATCGATGCGATGCATGGTCAGCAATGTGAGTGTGCAGTTTTCGCAGCTTATGCTGGTGAACATGCCGAAGAACGCCACTGAGGACTGGGACAGAACTTGGGACCCAATCTGGAAGGAACTGTCGGAGTCCTTCAAGAAGCTCGCCGCTGGAAAGAGCATCTTGCAGAAACCAGGAGCTGTTATTATATATTCGAAGATATCATCTTGTTTTAAACAATAGTTGGCCTGACTGGGATCGTTTTCCATGTCTGGAAAGACACGACAGACCGCACCGAACACCACGATCCCACCAAAACCCATGTATGAATTAGGATTTTCGTTTTGGTGAGTGTATAGTTATAGGCTTGTTTTTGACATTTGGTGACTGTATCTAGTAGGTCATTATGGAGATACTATATATCAACCATACTCCCTTTCACTGCATTCAAGGCAAAGCGAGAAGACGATGTATTATTATGTCCGTCAGCGGCGACCTCGAATTTTTCTGTTCTCAGTTTGGCTGGCCCACTAGTGCTCGGAATGACCCATGTCCTTATTGCGAATGCACCAATTTTTTCGACGAGAGCAAGAACACATCCATTCAACGATCTGCGACCACAGGCTGCTTGGAGATCCACACTATTGAACCCTCGAGCTGAGGACCTGACGCAGCACCACCTCTGGAGTGTTCCGGGGGTCGGCTTCTGGACGGTCAAACTGGATCTGTTGCATTTGATGGATCTTGGCATTTCTTGCCACATCTTTGCAAACCTGCTGTGCGACATTTTGGATACACTGCCAGGGAGCAGCTTGGAGGCCAGGTTGAAAGTCTTGAACCCGAAAATTTCGCAGATATATGAAGACCTGGAGATACCGACGGCTGAACGGTTTCCGAAATTGCTGCGAAGCAATTTGATTGCAGACACTGGATACCCGACTTTGAAGCACATCAAAAGCAGGACTGTTCGGAAGTTTTCGCCAGTAGCTGTACGGTTGGCCACGGAATATAGTGATGAACCGTCTACGAGATCTATGCACAGAAAAGCTTGTGTGGAGTGTTTGGACAAAGTGTACAGCATGGCAGCTGAGAAGAAATGGGCTTTTTCTTCAAAGGATTTCCCAGTTTTCGAAGATGCAGTGCAAGGAACATTGTCCCACTATCATTTCCTGGCGAAAGATGCATTGAAGAGGAAGCTTCTGAAATACAGCATCACCCAGAAGTTCCACCTCTTTTACCACTTCGGGCAGCAGTCAAAATATCTGACGCCGAGATGTGTTTGGTGCTATGGCCCTGAGTCGTACCTGGCGATTGTGAAAGCTGTGACTGCAAGCTGCTCTCGTGGAACTGCCAGCTACCAGGTTGTGGGAAAGGTGCTTCAAAAGTTTAGCCTGGCTTTTCACTTGCTCTTAAAGGGCTTGTTGGACTTCGACACTGAGAAGCCGGAGGACTAAAAAAGAAGGGTTCTGCAAACCCAGTGTCTGGATAGACGTATATAGTCTTAAACTTTCTATTTCAGTGTCTGCATAGACAATAAAGGTACCGCCGCAGCCACAGCGATCCGCAGCCGCAACTTGTCTGCACTAGGGGGCAGGGGGGCAGGGGGGCAGGGGGGCAGGGGGCAGGGGGCAGGGGGCAGGGGGCAAGGGGCAGGGGGCAGGGCAGTGTCTGGATAGACATGTCGCTTGGTCCTAGTGTCTGGATAGACAACCTAAACCCTGAACCCCAAGCCCAAACCCTAAATTCATGTACGTACTATATAGCTTTGAGTGTCCGTGTTTGATGATAGGACTTTGCCGATTCTTCACAGTGTCTGGATAGACACGACATATGTAGCTGTATGTATATATGTAGATATATATATATATATATGTATACATACATACATATATATATATATATATATATATATATATATATATATGTATATATATATATATTATATATATATAGATATAGATATATATATATATATATATATATATATATATATATATATATATATTTATGAACTCACGAAAATGCTGAAAAGTACATCCTGTAAATGGCAGAAGAGATAATAGATATATGGTGTTTTTGCACACGTGGGAGTGCCTAAAACCCACTTCCGCGATTGATTTTTCTATTGATTCCACGCTTGATTTTTCTATTGATTTTAACGACACTTTGCGCTTGATTTTGACGCTATTGAAAAAAGCCTCTTTGCGATTGATTTTGGCCTCGTTTCAATCGGCGCTTGAAAAAATCAATCGCGATTGATTCCAACCAATATTGGAGCATATGGGTAGTCCCGAGACGTACAGGTTGACGTCCTCAGCGATCCCGTGCATCCTTGACGGACGGAGAGTTAACAAGAGAGAGATGACAGAAAGCGTCAAGTGTGTGTGGGGACGTTGGTGTGCGACTCGTCGTGGTCCCGTTTTACGGACAAGCGGACATTTGTGATCACGTCGTTGCTGCAATGGTTTTCGATTGATGAGACTCTTCCGAAGACCATGCCTACGAGAAAATGGGATGTACGGATCCAAACAATCCTATGCAAAAGCCCACACCACAAAGCCAGCTTCGCAAATTTACTGCAGAAGGCGGCTACGGCTATCTGAACAAATCTCGCTTTTCTGCGGCCAACATCCAAAGCCCAACCCCAAACCTTCAATCACATATCTTCAACTCACAGCTCACATTTCACTAGTCATCAGCCCTTAAGCAGCTCCATACCGGAAAGCCCTATACCGTGATTGGCGGTTCAGGGCTTCGACGAGATCCGCTTCGCGTGGAACCCGCAAGAGGTCTGCAAGGAGATGGATGTCGCGATCAGGGCTGCTTCGGGGTTTTGGAGCATAGCGCCCTTTGTTTACTTAAGCAAATACCAAGAGGTGTAGAGTGCACATTCATAGGATTTCGGGGTTCGTGCCCCCCCCCTCCCCTCCTGAGTCAGGTTCGAGTTTTAGTGGACCTTGGTTATTTAGTTATTGGTTGTTTGAGGTTTGCAGGATATTTGGAAGGGTTTTTTCGAGGGAGGCCGGGGTTGATTTCGATGGGTTAAGTTGTTAGCAGTGTTTCTGGATTTTCCCAAACGGTTTGTAGAAATCAAGCAAGGGTTCAGAGTTCATTGCTTAGCACTTTGCGGTTTGGGGGGGTTGCCATTCACGTTCTGGCGAGCCATAATGCATTCACCCGAAGGCTTAGCGTCCAAGCTGTACGTCGATGTCGGGTACGGTTTCGGGATGTCCTGGATCCATGACACTGCTCGCCTGTATTCAGCAAACAGTCAGATTTCCTCCTGTGTTTCAATATACAATCGTTTATACTACTTTAACATGATCCTCCCTCCAGAAAAGCTGCAAATTCAAGTCCGAAGCCCCAAACAAACTCTTCATGTTGGGCAGACAGGATTACCTGCACAAGTGGGTCCTCAAGCACAAGGCCAGAAGGGTCGGGCCTCCTTCAGACTGAGAGTCGAAGCTGTCCTGGGAATTTGGTTCGGGGCCTATATTATAACTCAGGGTTTAGAGTATTTGGCTCCGGGTTTATGTCAGTGTTTATAGGGCTTAGGGTTTGCATTTCGGGGTTAAGCTGCAACAGGGACTGACGACCCGGATCATTACTCCACATCATGGCGGCCAATGTACGTGCGGGCGGTGTGTGGTCAAATCCAAGAGGCCATCCGCGCAACAGTGCGTGGGTGCAAGATGAACAAGGAAATGTTCAGCCGAAGATTCCCCTAAACCCCCAAACCCCCTAGACCGAAGTACGTAGTAAGCATCAGGCTTGGGCTCCCGACGTGAAAACACGTAGACAGCGACAGGCGATTCAGAACATCTCCATTCCTCGTGCTAGTTCCTTACAGTATGTACACTGACTGCCCTTATGCTTGTTCTTCTCTGAGCTCCATACAGAATCCCAAACCTGAAACCACATCTCAAATGTCATCAAAATTCCAAAAGCATTGGCTGCTTCCGAGATCCTCTGTCGTATGGAAGACATCGTCCCCTCTGACTGGTGGGCACCCCGGTCCTCGTTGCCGAGAACCGCTTGGGCTTATAGCATTTGAGGCTTCTGGGTGCCACCGTCACCAACCCCACGGTCCCTTTAAAGAAGCTGTAGTAGTCCGTAGAAGAGGCTATTTGGGCTACAAATAGACGGGCTGCTGTAAGGTCTAGACAGCTATGAGATGCTTGATGGGGCCTCTTTGGAGTCGGAGTCAGACCTCGTATGATGCTTGATGCCATCTGTTGCAGTCCTCGAAGGTAGGAGCCTGATGTTGAATCCCCTGACAACCACAAGACACATAAAGAACCGCAGTGTGAACCATGGGATTCTAAAAAGAAGGTCAGAGCCCTGCTAAGACCCAGCAAAAGGTCAAGTCTGTACTCATGAAAGCTTCCGTACCTTTAGTGCTTTATGCCTAGATCCTGCTGCTTTGTCCAAACACGGGCTTCCCTCATCGGGTTGCATCGCTACCGCATAGAAGCAAGGTATCCTTCAGGGGAGTGATGACTACGAAAGTTACTATGGTAATCTGTAGTGTGTGCTAAGTTGCTATCGCATGTTTATATGGGGGGGCCATCGCCTGCAGCAAGATGTCGGATACTACCTGCCTGCGACACCGAGGCGCTAGTTGCAATGTGAATATAGTTGTGTATATGTATGTACGTAGGTAGGTAGGTAATTAGGTATGTATGTATGTACGTAATTCATCAGGCTGCATCAACGCAAAGATTGATGAAAACATGCCTTTCTTGGCCATAGGCCTCCAACTTTCTCACGGCGGTGATGTTGGGACATCCTTCATTGCGACTAGAGCTTCGGGCCTCTAGTCTGGAAACCTGAAGCCTGTTCGAAACCGCCACTGCCCAGGTTTCACCTGAAGTCCTCAGAGTGGCAGAAAGTCCTGGCTGACTGGCATAGCAACCCCGGCACGCTTGGAGGGTGTCTGGAGCGTTTAGGCTTAGGGTTTACGATCGAGTTCAAGAGGTTTGAATAGTTGACAAAAATTTCACGGTGATATATGTTTAGTGTATATAATTTTTCCTTCTCTGACTAAGGCTTCTGTTCAGTGAATTAATTCAGGCTTGGGAACGAAGAGTTTTTCTATTTGTTATATCGACTTGCTTTTCGATTCTCATGTTCATCCTGCTCATGTACAAGGTCGCCTTGCGGTAGAGTACTCGGTCTAGCCAGAAGCCGCAGGACCTCTCAACATAGTTCTTTACGACTCTTACAGCGAGTTGTTTGGCTACACTGGAGGGAAACTGAGCGGTGATGAAGTCCCGGAGGCCCGGGTCCACGCAACGAGCTTGAAACGCTGAATCCCGACTTGAGAAGCATCCGATGTCTCGCCTTGTGCTGCGCCAGGCAAGCAAGGAGAGTTTGCGGCCAAGCAGGCACCGGACTTTCAAGGAATTCAGACCCCCAGACTAGACACGAATCATCCACTATCATATCCCTTCTAGAAGCGCTTGCAAAGCACCTTGTCGTTTTCGGGTTTGCTCAAGTTAAGGCTCCTGCCTGGGCCCAATCTTTGCGGGGAGGGCTTGGCTAGGGTGGGTTTGGGTAAGTACCTGAAAGCGCTTGACCCCTTAATCCTGACGCCCCAAAACTCCAAATCCCTAGAGGTATCTGGGCTTTTGCTGAATTGCCTTTCCTAGTGGCTGTGTCGGTAACTCTGAAGCTTTCTGTGTTATATTGAATTCTCAAAACACAATTCACAATTCAGAAGGTTTACGCCCGTTTGGAGGGGAAATCAGCCCTTGGTGCCCTAAACCCTCAACCTACCCAGAGCCACCAACTACCTTCCACTATAGCCTAAGCAGCCTTCATTAAGGACCATAAGGGCTCTTTTAAAGGGCACTTGGGGTGTCCTGGTAAACCACAAACTCCCTAAACCCTAAAGCTTGTAAACCATAAACCCCCTGTTTTGGGAGGCTTACCGGGATGAGGATCTTCCAGAACTGGATGGGTCACGACCTTTGCAGCTCCTTTGGGGTCAGAGCTTCGGTTTGCCAGTTCAGGGTTTTGTTGTTTAGGTCTTGGGGCTTTCAAGGCTTTAGACTTGAGGGCTGTCTTAGACGGTTTTGGTCTGGACTTAAAGGGTTTTAAAGCATTTCTGTGGTTTTCTTAGGGTTCTCATAGATGGCTTTATCGGGGCCTATAGGATTGAGGGGTTTGGACTCAGAGTTTGTCTAGAGCTTCGGGCATTGGGTTTGGGTTCAGGGCTTCAAAGCACCGAAGCCAGAGTTCCCACTGAGGCTGGTGCATTGAATACTGCGCTAGGGCTTGCGGGGAGGAGCCCCAAACCCGACAGCCCACAATTTAAGCCGCTGTGCTTCACCGTCTACTTAGACTCAGGCATGTCATCCCGAACTTCAATCTCTACATTCCACATAGTCAGTTTAAACACGAACTGGAGCTTGTACGTATATAAACCCCGACCTTTACAGCATAAATCCACAGGCCCAAACCACTAAACTAATCCGAAACACGCAACTCCTAAGCCAAACCAAAGCCCGAAATCTTGAGGTCGTCCGTCACCGACGTGATGTCAGTGCCGGACATCTGCGACCTGGCAGCTACCGACTTGCAATTCCATAAATTCAACCTGAGCGCGAGCATATGTGAAAATGGGCGACCTCGTCAAAGTTCCTGAACAATATCCGGGTTTGCATATCATTTTCAAGTAACGCTGCCTGCTCAAAGTCTCTATCCTGATTAAGACCTGTGCGCGGCTGAGTATTGGGCACAGTAGAAATTTGCCTCTCGGGGTAATTTCATGAATTGGCTTTTGGTGCTGATGAGCGGTTTCAGGATTTGCAATCAGGGCATTGAACTTAGGATTGGAAGGGGAGGGCGTTATAGGATGTTATAGGGTTAAGTTTCAGGTTTCGGAGCAGATTTGTTACTGTTATTGCCCAGAGAGGGATGACACAGCCACCAAGTGGAGAACACCAGTGATGACCCAGGCCAACATAATGCCCTGTAACTTAAGGAGCATTCTTCAAGTCGTAGCCCTTCTTGTGTTAAGTTTCTAAGATGTGTTCGTCGTCATTGCTACACGCAGTTCCCAAACCGCAAATAGGATCACCGATCCCAGGCCATCGTTACAAGGGTCTTGACATGTGTTTTACCAAGAGATGCAGGGAAATTTGCAAGGGTCGGAAGGCATCAGCTCTTCAGTCTCAAAGCGGCACACCCTGAACTAAATCCGTTCGCCCAAAAGCCGTGAAAGAGCAAACCCTATATAGAACCGTAAACCCTATAGACCCTATAAAGGAGTCACACGTGCAGAGCCCCAAGGCAATGTCGTCAGTGGGGAGCCGCTGTTTGCCAAGTTCACTTTCGAGGCAAATCGAACAGGGCGCGTGATTTCGGATTTAGGGTTCAGGTTCGGGATTGAGGTTTTGTAATTAAGGGTTTAGACTTTAGTGTCAAGGCGGGGATTGCGATTCTGGGATTGGGCGAAACGCCCACCGGTGTCTACAGCACCACCAACGTGTACTGCTCGCGTAGGTGCGATGCAGCATGCACCCGCAAAACTTGCAGGGTTTGGGAGACGGTTGTATTATGTGATAGAATTTTTTCTCCGAGACGACACCTACAAGCCCTCACTTGGCCCTCAAGCCGTATCACTAATCAAGGCCCCTTTGCCGAACACTGGGCCTCCAAGATGGATGTTGCAGATTTGCAGCCCGAAACACTATTGGAGACCTTTACAATTGATGCTAGGCCACCCCCGTTATCACCTCTTGAACACCTCAAAGCCATAAACACAGTGTGCCCAAGATCCCTGAGAGACCCCCCGGGTGCCGATGTAAAACCTAAACTTACCTTAAGCCAAGTAGGAAACATACAAGCGCACCCGTCGAATGCACAGCGCTGAGGGTTCACGGTTTAAAGCCCTCTACAAACCCGATATTTTCAAGCTTCTCGGCCCGAGAACCATACGACAAAGGGCGTTGGGGTCGTTTCGAGCCTTGAGGATAACCAGGACCCCCAAACGTCGAGGGTTTTGGGGCCACAGGTAGTGTTTAGGATTTAACATTTATGATGTAGGGCCGGGCTTAGCCGCCTAGGAGTTGGGGATTGTCGGGTTCAAGGACTCGGACATGCCGAGGATCCCCGATCCAAGCTTACCCGGCCAAACCTTGTAATCCCTAAACGTCAGACACTATCAGCCAAGTAGCAAACCTATACCAGGGTTTAGTGTTTACGGTTTAGGGAGCCTATTCCAGAGTTTAGGATGTTAGCAGACCTATACCAGGGTTTAGTGTTTACAGTTTAGGGAGTCTATTCCAGAGTCTATAGGATGTCTAGGGTTTAGAGCACCCTAACACTGGAAAGCCCCCTCTAAAGAGGACTGGGCGCTGCTGAGTCGCTCGGCCATCTTCAAGAGTGCATTGGTGTGCCCGAAAGGTTGAAGTACTTGACAGATACCATGCTTAAGGCTCCAAAGGGGCGGTGCTGTTGAACGGAACTGCACCCTAACCCTACCACTCCAAAACCGCAAAAGGAGCGCAACAAGCCACAACCGGATGGACATTTACAAGTCGTAAGGCCTAAACTGCACCGAGGCACCAGCCCGGAAGCCCTGTCCAAGCTGTTTCTTGCTTCTGGTTTAGGGTTTGGGGTAGACTCTGAACCATTTTCAGACTCGTCCAAGCAACTACACCCGGGTCTGGTTCGTTCTTTGATTTCGGCTGTACGTGTTCCAGGATTTGGAGCTCACTGCTCTTTGCTACTTGAGTTTATGCGGGCTTGCAGCGTGTTGTTTATAAGCTCCCAGATTGAGCTGCTACGGTTTGCAGGACGTGGGCCAAGAGGTCATGAGTGGGTGAAGGCTGCCGTTCAAAGCCGTGAAACCCAATGCTGTCGTGTCGGAACCCAGACGATAATGTGATACTCAGGCCCTTAGTTGAAGCTGGCTCGTCGACTAGCGGTCTGCATCCAACCTTCAATTGTAACCCCAACACCCTGAACCCCACAACGCCGAAACTGAGGAACCTGTGCTTTGTCAGAGGTCTGCATTCTGAGTGAGACTCCTCTGCCCAGGTCTGCGATTGGAGCTTCACCTGCTGGCGTGGAACCCAAAAGGGTATTTGCACTGTTGGGCTTTCGGTTCAAGGTTTAGGCTTTGAGCGACGACACGACTTCTCGTTTATGAGGTTCCCTTTAGGCTTTGCATCTGGTCATCGCAAAAAGTGCAGAAGGAGGTGAGGGCTACGAGTTCTTCAGCATGTGCAGTTTGCTAAACTTGTATCCTCATTCGTGTCCTGATTGCCCGACTGACCTCCTCTTCCGGGATTCAAAAAAAAACAGGACCCTAATTCACAAAACGGTTTACAAACCCCAACCCCTAAGCCCCAAAGCCCCAAAGCCGTAAGCCCTAGCGCCAGACCTTCAACTCTTGATCACTGCCGAGGTCCACAGCTTCCGACGCGATGCCCAGGACGACGAGCGAATAGGCATCCATGAGTCGCATCTGTGCGGCTCCCGGTGAGTAATGCTTGGGAGCTTATGGTTCATGGTTTAGGGTGTGACTCCCGGTGCATGGGTGCAGGGTTTAGGGTGTGGCGTAGGGGCTTGGGGTTCGGCTTTTGGGACTTCTTCTTTAGAGTTCAGGGTTTGAGGTCTAGGCTTCATGGTTCTTAAAGGCCGAGGTCATATACACCGGTACTGCAAGCCAACCCAACGTCAGGACGACCTCGAACATCATTGAATGTGTGTACACATCATTATGATTTGGGTATTGTCATAGGTATTCTAGGTATCGCTTCGGCATGATGTTTAATTTCTCGAACTCTGCATAGAGCCCTACTTATATATACCTTTTTTTTGGGGGGGTCTGCTGAAATCGACACCTGATTTTGGGGAGTTCTCCTGGCAAGCTCATGGACCCAGACACGGTAAACCAAGCTCCATATAACTCCAAACCCTGCAACCCCAAACTTCGAACCCCAAGGTAAACCCTAAACCCTAAACCCTAAACTTCAAAGCCCTCTGGAACCCCAAGGTCTAAAATCCCTCAAAGTCTGCAGCGAGAACCCGTTCAAACCCTAAAGCCCTAAAGCCCGAAACCCTTCGCGTTTAGGGTTTAGGGCTTAGGGTTTGGGGTTTCGTCAAAGCCCGGAACCTCAACATTCATGAACCCCGAGCCTCTTGTTCTCTCAGGCCATTCTACTACAACAAGTACTATAAGAAGACCTTCAACGTGAAGCACTACGGGGCCTGGTGCTCAAGAGCACCCCAGGGGATCGGATTTGGCGGTTGTATTTCAGTTTGTTATGTGTATACTCATTTTTTGTTGTATTTATGTATTGTCAGCTTTTGCACGTGCATGTATATGTATATGTATACAACCAATATAACGATATGATGAACCTACTGTACTATACCGTAATATAATGGCAAAGTATAATACAAATATAAGTGCAGCAGACCAGGAGTACAGAGTTTGTTGTTGGAAGTTGGAACAGTCCTCAGAACTGAACCATGGCAATTTGAGGTTCATGTTGGCGATCCCTGTTCTACAGATGATGTGATTAAGCGTCTGGTGGTAGGATTACAAAGCACTGATTATGTCTACGGCGATGTTGACGGCACGATTGCTACTGTTATCTTCTGGGAGAGCAGCGTCCCACACCAAGCATAGACTGCCCAATATGCAGGAAGACAGACCGAGCGGCAATTCCATGCGAGCATAGCCGTAAGCCCCGAAACCCAAGTTGCTGTTTTTTCAGCCTACGGTTTTCTGGGCTTCTTGGTGCGTTTATCAATGCATTAATTGGAGCACAAACCTCCAGCTTACCTCGAAATCCTGAGCTCTGAATCCAGGGCTTTGGGCCTGGGCATTAGAGTTCGGACCAATGAGCAGTCTAGCACACACCGCAGTAGTTCTGGATTGGGGTTTCAGGGTCCGAGACCGTTTCAAAGCTGTGGCCCCTAGATTAGAAATTCCATGACCCTGTACCGAGAAGGAACATGAGTTAAATCATGCTGGACCCTGCACAATTCAGTTTCAATCATATTTCGCTGTTCAGGCTTCGGCGTCATAGCAACCTTTCGGAGCCCGTAGCAAGTCTTCATCGGGCACTATCGTGATATCAACGAGTCCAGCACGTGACAGTCTCAACCCTGATCATTTTTCGGCCGTCATAACACCTAAGAACCCTAGTACTTCCCCGTATGCAGCATGTAGGCTATTTAAGCTACTTCAGCATGTTACCCAACTGCATCAAAGCCATGTTTGCAAGTCTTCTACCTGAGCCTCCCAACTCCCCCGGTATCTGGCCGAGCAGGTGGAGAACAATGCCGCCCTGCTCTCGTTCATCAAGGATCCTGGTCCGAGATACCCGGAAGACGAAGGGGGCTTTCTGTTAGACATACCACCGTACTATACAATGCCAACATGATTCACAGCATGGGAAGCGACGCCATCATGTACACCCAAACCCAAGGCCCTGTAGAACACTTACACGCAGCAAATAGAAAACTTAAGAATACAGGGTGCGCTCAATCTTGGATTTTGTTCGAATATGATCCTGCCACTTACAACCTCCCAAGCCGTTGTGGGGAGCTGGGATGAATCTACTGTGTTCAAAAAACGTAACGGACATGGAGGTTAGGGATCCAGACGAGGCCGATTGCAGGTTCATGGACTTTCGGGCGATATGCAAGCTTGGCTACAGTTTGTGGGAGGATCGAGGGATCATGACCTGGTCTGTTTGTTCCTTAAAGAGCCCAGGCGTACCGTATACACTTATGCCTTCAAGGGTTCCCATATACATATATGAGCAAATAAATCACAAAAATGGGCAATACTTCAATGCATCTAACATATGTGCATACGAAAGAGTGTACACATATAGATAGGTAGCTATGTGGTGACTTTTGTCCTCGGAGGCCTCACACCCTATTTTTCTGGGCCGATTGCTAGCCATGACTACAAAATGTGAGCCCCACAAACCTCACTCCTACGTGGGCCTTTTAAAAATGCCCCCCCCCAGTGGAGGTTTCGGGTTCCGGGTCTGGGATTTGGGCTCTGAAGTCTTAAATCGCAGGCACTCAGTAGGGTGGACCAGGAACCCTTAACCTCAAGAACCTTAAACCCCTCACCCAGTTCTCTACGATTCATACCTTAAGCCCCTCACCCAGAACTCCAATTACTATTCATAGGCCCAAAACCTTGTCATAGCTAAGCCCCACGCCCAGAGATCCCCAGGGTCCGAAACCCGAAAGCCTCAAATCCCCGAAGTCCGGAAGCTCAAGATCGGAAAAGAAACGATCCCCCAGAACCAAGCCTATAGGGTTTCGTGTTTAAGGGTTTAGGTTTAGGGTTTCGGGTTTAGGGGTTTAGGGCCGAGGGGTTTAGGGTTGAGGGCTGGAGGTTCAGGGCTTAGTGGGCACGGGCGCAGGCTTTTGAAGCTTGTGGGTGCAGTTTTCGTGTTTAGGCCTTTGTTGTCCCGATCCTTAACGGACGGTTCAGGGTGTAGGGTTTAGGGGTTTAGGGTGTTGGGGTAACGTCCGAATCCAAAGATCCTCTCTGCGAAGGACACCGTTGCGATCAACCCTGAGAACATGGTGATTCAGGCCCACCGGGTGAGCTGCCGGGGTTTACTAGGTGGCAATTTGGGAAACTTTTTTATTTCCCTTATGGTACCTATAGAGGTACCTATTCATAAATACTTTTCAGAGCCCCAAAATAAACTACAACCCAGTTTAGGTTTTAGGGTTTCCACGGGATTTGCAGTTTTGGGAGGGCGCAAAGGTGTAGGGGCTCAGGCATTCCAGATAGGTTTGGGGCATTACAGCTGGGGTTCAGGGTCTAGAGTTTTGGGGGTCTTCAAACATCATACTGCTTCGATTATGTAGAGACTTTGGTTATCCTCCCGCAATGATGTAGAATCGCAGACTGAGCAGGTCATCTACTACTGGCAAAAGTCTTTTGATGTTCCATATAATTTTAGGTAAGGGTCGCTTCCAAGGCCACATTGCTGATGTGATCTATTCCGCTGTAGCTACGTCTGATACAAGATGCTAGAGTTCGGGTACCAGTGTCGGGTTTTCGAGATGTGGGGCTTTAGGTCTTGGAGGTGTAGAGTGTAGAATTCCAAGACGTGGGTTGGTTTGCAAAGGAAAGGCCAGGCGATACTTGGCGAAATGGTGGCAGCCTATGTTTTCTGTGCGTCGCATCTTACAACCAACTCGCGGATCCGAACTCTACAAAACACTAGGTCATGGCGGCTGAATGAGATTGTCTTACACCAGCCGTCTTTTCAAGCACAGAGTATGGCGACAGCATCGGTTCTGGAGGACTGCAAGTTCGGGATGCCATGGAAGCCTTCATCTCTATGCCCTACCAACCCTACACTTTATTCTAAACGAGACCCTGAACCGCAATACCCTCCTATAACTACCTAAACCCTCAGACCCCCCTGTCCGGGTGCTGTCCGATCGGAGGCTCAGCTCGCGGAAGAAGTCGACAGCTTCGACATCTTCGTCAAACTGACGGAGGTACCGAAGCATCGTACCCTACTTAAAGGATCATGGGACTTAGTAAGTATGGTTATAAGTACCTTAGTCGGGGTTCTAAGTAATAAGTGTAGCTTCCCTGGTAATAGCCCCAGTTACTAAGTCCCATGATCCTCCAAGTAGGGCTGCGGTTACCTACAGTGGAAGCCCAAAACTTGGAAACCCAATAGCCTCAATCCTTAAGAGCAATGTATCGGGAATCCCAGCACTGCTTGGCCTTCATCCGGTTTCCAACTTTGTGTGGTTTACTGTAAGCGATCTCAAGGATAAGCTTTCAACTTGATTCCCCAAAGGACCAACTGTGGAATTAGGATGTCTCTGGTGCTCCGGGGAAGCCCGAAAGGACCAACCCAGGGTTCTAAGGTTAACCCTTGAGCACTACTACCATCAGAGCCTGAAGTCTTAAATTCTATGTAGACCTGGATTCAAGATGAGGGTGCTGGCCGGGAGTTTGCACGGCGGTGCAGGCAGGAGACATCTCCTTGCAGTTGTTCATTTTTCTGATGTTTGCCAGTGGTTGTGCCCTTTTCTTGAGAGTTAAATGTCGCTTTGCTGAAATGTTTAGGTTCAAGAGCGAGGGGTCGTACTACCCTGTGAATGAAGTCTGAAGGAGTGTGGCATACAGTCTTACAAATTACAAGATGTGGAGCTACGAACTATGCTTGAGCTCATTTTCTTATGTTAAGCATTCTGGTATAAGACATTCGGTATGCTAAAGGTATACATAGTACCCTAAACCCTAAACTAGTCCTCCATTGATGGGTATTGGGTTCTGGGCTCTTGAACGATTCCGCTCTCTCTTGCCAGGAAGCGCGGCGAGAGCGATTCAAGAAGCTGGAGCAAGGGGATGAGCGACTTGGCCGTATCTTCATCTAGGTTTGTGAGAACTTCCGTTTGCCCTGTTTAGTTTGGGGTCTCCTCATGAGACCTGAGTCAGGAAAAAGGGTACCAGGGGCTACTCAGGAAGCTAGTCATGGGATGACACAGTGGACCCGCTTGAGTTTAAGTCCGAGAACGGATGCTCGAAGGGTTCTTGTGAAAGGTATGGTTGGGAAACTCGCAGACTATTCCCTGATACCCTAAACCTTAAATCGTGCCTGGGCCCTAGACCGCAACACGCTGAGAAGAGAAGTCCCACCACCTGCCAGCCCTAAGCCTTAGAAGCCCCAGTAAACCCTATACCCTAAACAGCCCAAAGCCCTAAACCCTAAACAGCCCGAAGCCTTAGAAGCCCTAGAATCAAGCCGAACGGTCACCGGGCCAGATCTCCCAAGGCCCCCGTAAGGGTTGCTTGCAAGATCCCTGGAAGGAACCCTTGAAGGATCCTTGAAAAGAAAGGAGCCCACCCTTAAAGGAGCCCTTAAAAGAGCCCTTAAGGGTTCCTTCAAGGATTCCTTTTAAAGGGTTCCTTTAAGTTCTCCTTTAGAGGCCTCTAGGCCCCTGAGCTCCAAATCTGCACCTTGCAGACAAGACAGCCACAAGACCCATTTCAAGCAGAGCAGAATGAAGTACACCAAGTAGATATAATGATGAAAAGCTATGGAGATGGAAATACTAGTAGTTTGTGAAGGTGGTGATAATGCTAGCGACATTGAGAATCAGAGTCACCTTAGCAATAGTAACTGGTATGATTGTTGTTATTGTTATGAAGTTTCATCAGTGCTATACCACAAACCCTAAACCCCTTAACCCTAAACCCCCAAAACTCTAAACCCCTAAACCCTAAACCCCTAAACCCCCCAACCCTAAGACCCTAAGACCCTAAACCCTAAAATCCTAAACATCTAAAGCCGTAAACCCCAAACCCCGTCTCAATGCTCTGATGCCAAGGAGCGCGAGGCTGCGCTTCGCCCGGCCCGAAGAGATCCGGGCTATGGAGCAGCAGCAGCAGAAGGCCGGGAGCTCTTCGGGTTTTCAGGATTTTAGGGTTTGGGGTTTAGGGTTTAGGGGTTTAGGGGGTTTAGGGGGTTTAGGGTTTGGGGGTTGAGGGGTTAGGGTTTAGGGTTTGGGGGCTTATGGTTTCTGGCTTTTGTAACAGGAAATTGAAGTGTTTTGTTTTTGGGTTCTTGCAGGCAGTGTTCACGGTTTTCTAACACCTGCTTGATGTGTACGGTTGTTATACAGGTTTAGTTAAGTTTGTGTTCCGCAGGAAAGTTCACGCACTCTGGCTGCTTCTATGAGGGTTTCATATGGTTCGAACTGCCAGCCGTGTTCCCTTCAGGTCCGTATAGAACCGTAATGCTACCAGATATAATAATTATAGTGAATCCCACAAAGTTGGAACATGGAATTAAGATGATTCGTGCTGGGATCCCCTGTGCTTTTCCAGGGCATGAGGATCGTGATGTTCCAACTTTCTGGCTTCTACATTACACCCCAAAACCCTACCCCGCGTCTTTAGGCCCCTGGGTTAGCCAACCGAGGACCCAACGTCCTGTTGGCCTTGGGGACATTTGTTGTAGACCAATGTAGGGTTTAGTGGAGGGCAGTGATTTCTATAACTTTAGGACTTTGTGGATTTAGGGCAGTGCTTTTGGGAACTAGCGGCTGGCGGTTAGGATTACAAGCCTTCTGGAGCTTGGGTTTGGGCTTCGGGCCGCTGACTCTTGTCTCTTGGGGCTTTTGCCTGGGATTCTGAATCTTCGTGGGTTTTAGGGATCAAGGCTTTCAAGCTTGGAAGGCTCTCTGGGAAAACCGGAGCCTCGGAAGCCTTGCAGCCCTATACTATCGGTGCTCAAATACTTACGTATACTTTCTTGGGGGGGAATTATTAAAGCCCCTGTAGTAGCCTACACCCCAAAAGCGGAGCGCTCGGAATTGCATGGTTGATGCTGTTGGACCATTGTGCACACCATTCCTGCCAAGCGCGGAAGTCAGAGGCAGAAAGCAGACCGCACGAGCACCGAAGCGGCTCGAGCCAGAGACTCCAAAACCCCTTAATTAAGGAATATACCTTAAATTATAGTAGGGATCCTAATATGATTTAAGGTATATTCCTTAATTAAGGGGTATTGGAGTCTCTGGGGACCTTTGTGTTGGAAATTGCCTTGGAAGCGTTCGCCATGGCATACCAAACGGATGCCACGAAGTGCAGGCAGAGCTCAAGAAAGCTGGGATATGGGACTTTCCGAAAGTGAGGGGGACCCTAATATAGTACCCTAAATAGTAGGATCCTCATTATAAGGACCCCCAAAATATGGTATGCCCTTTCAGTTCCGGAATCTCTAAACCATAACAACCTTTATAGAACCTTTATAGTACCCCTGTAGTAACCATTTAAAGGAGGTACCCCCCTAAGTTTCGGAAACTCCCATAGGGAGCTGCCTCATGTTTGTCACATGGTCAGAGTTGAGTCGTTTGTTCGGCTCGCTCGTCCGTTGTGGTGCGAGGGAGCCTGGCTGCAGGGCTTTGCGAAAGGCTGTTTTATGTTTGTTCATGTAAAACCAGGAGAATATTAAGACATCATGTTTGATTGTGGTTCTAAGGGCGGGTATAGTTTGGGTTTCATGAGTTTAGTATTAGGGCTTTCAGGGTGTGCAATGTGTTTCTATACGGGCTTTGCTAATTTTGCATGTCAGAGGCACATGCAAGCCCCGAAAGTCGACGAATCGACCCGAGAGTTTAGTGGATACTGGGTGTAAGATCTTAAACTAATCCTTATCCCTTAAGCCAAAACCCTGAAGCCTCAACCCCCAAAACCCTCAACCCTGAGGCCTCAACCCTGAATCCTAAACCCTTTTTCGATGAGCAAACGTACCCGCTTGCTGGAAAAGAGACGCTTAACAAAATACACCCTAAACCCTAAACCCTCCGAAGCCCTAAAAATTGCCCTCAGCGCCCAAGGGGGCCTACGGCAAGGGTGGCCAGTTCGGCAAGGGGGGTGCCCCGGCCCAGGGCGGCTTCAAGGTGCCGGATTTCTATAGGGTTTCAGGGCTTAGGGTCTAGGCTTTACTTGGACCTGAAACTAGGATGAAGGCAGGATTCCTGACAGAAGCGTGCCTCTGCAGCATGTGACCTGCTTCAGTCATTTGTGGAAGAGGATGAATAGTCGCGCAGCTGTGAACCTTCCGCGGGGCTGTACTCAAGAACCCAGCTCCATCTGCTGACCGAGGAATGTTTTTCGATTAGCGGTTGTTGGGTTAGTATTGCGCTCCTCTGGAGTTCATGGCTTCCGCCATTGGAGCGCCGTTTCTGGCACCTTTCCATTTTTCGCCACCGCCGGGCTTGACACAGTCTGTGCATGGTTTGCATCATTGCATGTCGTCTTCCAAGAAGCCGAAACATTGCTCGCCCTCGAAGCAAAGGCGGGATTTTGCCAGAGGTGCGGCACGCAGGGAGTGGGTGCGAAGGACTGCTGCTCGCAAGCCGGCGTGCCAAAACCCCGGTGTTTCTGATGCTTCTGACATCAAGCCCGAAGAACAGATGAGGCAGGGATTTGGGGATCTGGAGCAGGCCATCGCAGATGTTCTGAAGTACGGTGGGAACCCTTTCAGCTGCTACTTTCAGCAGTGGATGGGTGGTTCACCTTCGGTCAACAAGTTCAGGCAGCGTGAAATTTTCCCCCTCAGCCCTGTTCGCACGTGGTTTTTCCAGGTTGGTGAAGGTAGCATCTTGCCGGTGTCCTTGCGGCTCTTGATGCTGAATGCATGTATCGCGGGGATGAACTTCTTGGCCGCTGATTTCAAACCTGCACGTTTTTTGCAGACTACTGGGCGTCATACCGCCGCGCAGTTGGATGTCCTGCAGCACGTAGCCGGACGCGTTTGTTCGTTCTTGGAGGTGTTGAGCGAGGCCTCTTCAGGGCAGCTGTCGGTTTGCAACGCTTTTGAGCAGTTCGAGGAGCAGTCTCCCGACCGTTACCCGAAACTTCGTGCTGAAGCGGTTGATCTCCCGGCGGTCGCTGGCACCTGCGACCCTTCGCTTCTCATTCCCACTGAGCTGGCTGCTGCTATTGAGAATCCTTCGGCACTCTTTGCAAGCAGGAAAGCTGAAGTTTGGCTGCAGGGTCCTTTTCCTAAGGGCGAGAAGCTCGAGTATGTCAATCTGGTCTGGCGACAGCTGCAATGTGGCAAAACGAGGCTACGAATCCATGTCAATGCCACTGGGGGTGTATTTTGTGTGGGCAAGAGCAACGGGCGACAACGTGAAGTTTGGGACGGCTCTTTGGTTTCCGCAGGTGCTGCACGCCCTCCTGCGCCAGCTCGGCTGGCAAATCCAAGCTGCTTCGCTGACCTCCAGTTCGCTCCTGGGCAACGTGTTTATATGTCAAAGCGGGACATCCACACATGTTTTGACATTTTACATGCTCCAGATGCTCTTCAGCCTTACTTTGGTCGGCCTCCAATCACGTTGCAAGAGCTCGCGCAGGTCTCCAAGCTTTCTGTTTCATCCCTCCAGCAGTTCGTGGCGGACAAGGGCGATGGTCCCGTTAGTGCACGTGAGAACCTTTACCCTGCAAGCACTGTGTGGCCAATGGGCTTTAGTTGGTCCTCATGCATAGCCCAAGCTGCCACCCTTGCTTGCTGCGTCGAGGCTGGAGTGTGCACCAGCAGCTTCATGGACTTGGACAGCCCACCTCCTTCAGGACCAGAAATCTGCGGCGTGGCGACAGATGATACATTTTTCTTCCATTTCGACAAGGAGCTGGGACGAAAACGTTTGTCCGATTTGGATGCAGTGCTAGCCGCAAACGGCATGCCCAAGAATGCCACAAAGGATGTTTCGCTTCAGTCGTCCATGACGGCACTTGGTTGTTGCATTGACGCAGAAACGGGAACTGCCCAGCCAGAACCTAGTAAAGTCACTGCTCTTTTTCGTGCGTGGATCGACTTGCTCAACAAGGGCCGCGCCAGTCCCAGAAGCGTGAGCAGGGCACTTGGTCTGCACCAGTGGTTCTGTCTTTTACAGCGTCCTGCCTTCTGTGTGTTCGACGCGGTGTATGAGTTTGTGCGCCGCGAGCCGTCGTCTGTGTCAGCTGATCTGCCAAGCTCGGTTGGTGCAGAACTTGCGGTGGCGGCTTTCATTATGCCGTTGTTGTGTGCCGACCTCCGACGCACCTTCCTGCCACAGTTAACAGCCTGCGATGCGGCTCCTGCTTTCGGCTTCGGGGTAGCTTACATGAGGTGTTCCCGAGCTGTGGCCGCTGAAGTGGGAGCACTTGCAGAGAGGCGAGGAGATTATGTTAAGTTTTATTTAGGCCCCGATGATCCCGCTCCCAAAGACCGCTTAGGGGTTCCGCACCTGTTGCCTTACCCGAAGCAACGCTTCAAAGTGGCCATTTCTGCGCGTGCTCGTTACAAAGCGCATTCAGGTGTGCTAGAAGCTCATGGCCTGTTGCTTGCGCTCAAGTGGTTATTGCGCAAACGGGGTAACTTTCATCATCGACTTGCTATCTTGATAGATGCCAAAGCTGTTCTAGGGGCAGCAAGCAAGGGCAGATCTTCTGCACCTGTGATTCGAGGAATCGTGCGTCAAGTCGGAGCGCTTTTGATGGCAACAAACTGCCTCCTTCGGGGCATCTATGTACCGTCGGAGCACAACCCAGCCGATGAGCCATCCCGTGGGAAATGGCATCGGGGCAATCGTGCTCGCAAGGTCCAGAAGTCAAGCCTGAAGCGTCGCCGACAGGACCCTTTTGCCACCCCTAAGGTTTAGGACCCCTATCCCTTTTTGGGTTTAGGACCTGTTGGGTGCCCTTTGGTTTTCGACTGAAGTTGGCCGCTTTGCTGCTCTCGCCTGCTCCGCTGGTGACTGGAGCTTGCCTGCCTTCTGGCTCTTTAGGGTTAGGGTTGTGTTGGCTTTGCCCTTTTCGGGTTTTTCCCTAGTTCCTCCCTTTGTTTTTGTTCCCCAGCCTGTGCATACGTGCGCAGGGTAGCTGCCGACTCAGCTGGTGAGAGCTCTGCCTGTAATCAGTAAAGGGTTGCTGCCTTGGGTTTAGGCTTTTGGCTTCCTCTGGGGTTTTTCTAGTTTGGTTTCTCGCCTACGCCCAGCCAGTGACGTCCGGGAACTGCGTGACAGGCCCTGCTTTTTCTGAAGTGGTGCTTGCTTCAACTAGCTGCTGGCGAAGCTAGGTTCTGACGTCATTGGCCTGGGGTGCCGCAGTCTGCGCCAACTGCGAAGTGCCTTTTTGGCAAGTGTGCTGCTGGCTTGTTCACGCCTCTGGCGCTTGTGTGTCTCTGCAGATGGGGCCGGTCGCATTGCAAGCTAGCTTTTCTGTCCGCGGCGCATGTGCGCCAGTCGCTTGGTGGTTGGGCTTCTTGTATTCTGTCAGTGTGCTTTAATCCGGAAGCTGAAGGCTTTTCTGGACGGGCGCATGAAGGCACGATGCATGATGTCTCTACCTCCAGGCGATCAAAAAGAATTCGTTTCCGCCGTGCCGCTGCTTGAGACCGTCAGCAAGTCTTTCCAAGCATTCGTGCAGGAATGAAGGCAGGATTCCTGACAGAAGCGTGCCTCTGCAGCATGTGACCTGCTTCAGTCATTTGTGGAAGAGGATGGATAGTCGCGCAGCTGTGAACCTTCCGCGGGGCTGTACTCAAGAACCCAGCTCCATCTGCTGACCGAGGAATGTTTTTCGATTAGCCCACCCTTCCCGCCCGGGCTTCTTGTATTCTGTCAGTGTGCTTTAATCCGGAAGCTGAAGGCTTTTCTGGACGGGCGCATGAAGGCACGATGCATGATGTCTCTACCTCCAGGCGATCAAAAAGAATTCGTTTCCGCCGTGCCGCTGCTTGAGACCGTCAGCAAGTCTTTCCAAGCATTCGTGCAGGAATTCCTTATTATGGTTTCTATATATAGATCCTTAAAAGGCTAGGTCTTTTGGGCCACAGGTAGGCTCCAAAGTAATTCCTTTTTGGGACTACCTTATAGGATTCTAAATATGGACCCCAAAAGGAACTACTATGGGGCCTCTAGGTAGGGCTTAGGGTCTAGGGTTTACTTAGACCCGAAGTAACCTACCTTGTAAGGGCGTTGTATCATGATTTCTCTATCTAAGTCCTTCAGGACATGGGTAAGTTGGCGTTGAGGTACGGCTTATATGGAGTTGAGTGCTGACGGCTTAGGGTGTATATGGATTCGGGTTGAGGATACAGGGTTTAGGTTTGAAGGTTCAGACTTTAGTGACGAAGGTTCAGGGTTTGGGCTTCCGGGTTGAAGGGTTTAGGGCAAGTTTAGGGTTTATGGAGTGGCAATTCTAGGGCATGGAGTTTTCACGAAGTTGAGGCTTGAAGTTTAGGATTTCGTTAAGGTTGAGGATTTGTATTGAAGTTCGACTCACAGGGTTTAGGGTTGCGGGTTTCGCGTTGGGGGTTCAGGGTTGAGGGCTCACAGGGTTTAGGTTTGCGGGCTCAGGATTTGGAAACGGGGTTTTGCATTCAGGGTTTAGGGCTTGGGGTTTCCCATCTGGGTCTCGCGTTTTTTTTGCGGGGTTCCACGAGAGGTTCGTAGTGAAGGAGGGGGAGGGGGTATGCAGGTTCCGTACTTATGTGCGGCATGTTCTTTGTAGCTTGGCTTCCTTGTTGCTAACTACGCAGGCTACTCGCCTGAGCAAATAGTAGTACTACACCCCTAGAGCCTTATATGCCCATGCCATCGAATACACCAAAGCCAATCCATAACACTTTTCAATGTGCTCCAAACCATCCTTCCCTACTAATTAAAATCCACGACCACTAAAATCGACCTGACGTCTTGAATGCGATCCAGGCCTCTACATTGACAAGCTCTCCCTACTTGGAGCTTCACGGATAAGTAGCACTGCTGTGGCTATTGCCTGGATGAGGGGACTTATAACCCCACCTATGATTATCCCATGAACCTTCAAGTAGAGCCGATCCGGAGTCTAGGGATTTTTGGCTTCTTGGACTTCGGTTTTAGAGTGAAAGAGCTGGGCTTGGGGGCTGAGGAAGTCGGGCTGAGGGCGAGGGCATAGGCGCAGGGCTTCGGATGAGGGTTCAGGGCCCTTAGGTCGTCCTACTTGGAGGTTCATGGCGAGTTATAAGTAGGGATATAAGTCCCCTAATATGGGCTACAAGTACAGTTATCCTGCTTATAACCCTACTTATGACTACCCCTGAACCTCCAAGTAGAGCCTGCTCCCCTCAGGGCGCCCCTGCTGCGGGCTACAGAGGTGCTACGGGCCAATTCCAGCAGCAAGGCCACGTGAGGGTTGTTCCACAATTCAACTCCTCGCATGGGCCACTCTCCATCCAGCTGCATTTTAGCTTTCTTATGTGTGTTTTTTCTGTGTCTCTCTCCCTCTCTCTCGCGCTACCTCGGCGTCTCTTTATCTCCATCTATGTCTACTTGTTTGTCACCGATCTATCTATCTACTTATCCACTCATTTACCTGTCTATCTAGCTCCCTATCTGCCATCCGTCGATCTGTTTAGCTATCTATCTATGTGAATATACAGATCTACCTATCCATCCTATCCATCCATCTGTCTATCTACCTTTCTAGCTCTAAATGTTTAAATCTATATCTATAGCTCTCAATGTCTTTCTGGCTAGTTATCGATCTACCTAGCTATTTATCTATCCATTTCTGTGGCAGGAATTCGTGATGTGTATTCTGTTCAGCACTCCTTCTTTTGAAGTCCTGTCTTGTCAGCTCTGGCGCTACAAAGTTCCTTCGGTTTTCCAACACCGCCAGGCCTCACGAGAACTTGGAGAACTCAAATCTGCGGCCCCGGACCCTAAGCCCTAAATCTCAAAGAGCCTCAAAGCCCCAAGCCTGACTAACCCGAAGCACTACACGCGAACAAGAAGCGAACAAGCAACACACGTGGTTTCCCCCAGGGCTCCAGTTACCGATACGGTAGTTTGCTAGCCATATATGTTGTAGCCCAGTAGCCTACTACAGTGGAGGCCCAAAAGTTGGAAACTGAATAATTAGCCTCAGCGGCCTCCATCCTTAAGAGTAGTGCATCGGGCATAGGGAATCCCAGCACTATTTGGCCTTAATCCGGTTTCCAACTTGATGGTGCTATTCAGGAGTCTTGAGCCCCAGGGTTTCCCTAAACCGCAGAGCGAGCCTGAGTCGAACTAACCTAGGAATAGAAAGGGTGCCTTTTTTTGGTTTAAAGGGGCTTACAAGGGAACCTGAACCGTACAGAAAGGGAATAAGGGCGAGAAGCATGGCTCGTTGAGGCTGTCTTTGGCTCCAAACTGGGCATATAAGGGCTCGATGGGTTTACTAGGACCTAGAGTAAGCCATTATTCCGAATATTCCCTTTTTGTTGGGTACAGATTCCCTTATAAGCCCCTTCAGACCAAAAAGGGCACCCGTTTTATTCCTAGCTTACTCTGAGGTCGAGTTTATATGGGTGCTGCAGGATTTGGTGATGTTTTGTAGAGTCGTCTTATACTTGTAGTATACACGTGCCTATATCTACATACATATGCAAGGAAGTACGGACGTATGTATGAATGCATGCATGTATGTAGGTATGTACGTATGTGTGTTTACGTGTGTGTGTGTGCATATATATATATATATATGTAAGATAAATATACATCTATAGTCTACTATATTATACTATAATATACTGTAGTATAATATAGTATAAAATAAGATATTATATAATGTAATACAATATGACATGGTAATATATATATATATATACACACACACAATTATGTGGTATCTATGTACGGGTGCGTTTGTCTATACTATGTGGATACTCAGGGACGGATATGTGCACCGTGCCATTCCGCAAGGCCAAACCCACCGACGGTACACTCAGGGATTGCACTTCGGCTTGGGAGAAGGGCGCAGGGTATTCAAGGTTTATACTTCTGGGCTTAGCGTGGAGGCTCTATGGTAGTTCCTTTTTGGGGTTCATATTTAGGTTCCAATATTAGTAATCCCAAAAAGGAACTACTTTGGAGCCTTTGGGTAGCGTAGATGCATTATGATTTGTGGCGTTCCCAGGCCGAGGCTACCCGGCCCAGCAGCAGCAAATGCAACAGCAACAGCAGCGGGCCTACCAGCAGCAGCGAGGCCGGGAAATCTGAACCCTAAGCCCTAACCCTGAACCCTTAAACCCTCAACTCCAAGACCCTAAGCTCTAACCCTAAGTTCATTCACTAAACGGTTCAGGGTCTGGCATTAGAGGATCCGAGTTCAGGATATCGGGTTTGGATTTAGGGACTCGGGCTTAAGTTTACCGGAGTGTCACCGTTTAGGGTTTAGAGTTTTGTTCATCAGGGTTTAGGTAGGGTTTAGTGTAGGGTTGAGGCTTTTGGAAGCGTATCATGCAGGAGCTTGCCGTTTTAGTAGATGGGGCTGGCGATTGAATGTAGCCCCCTGATTCACGAACTCCGCTACTATTGCCTTAAACAGGCGTCGTAATAGGATCCCTGAAACTAAGGAGGTTTTGTCAACCAGTGGTCTACAGTAGCCAAACCCACACCTCTGCGGCCGAAGCCTCGAAACTCACAAACCCCTACATAGGGTTTTGGGTTTAGCGGCCCTGGACCTCTATGCAATCGTTATGAGCCTTCTGGACGCCAATCTGTCACATGGGTGGTTGTCAAAATTATGGTACGTTGTTGGGTCCCTATTATAGTACGGCATCTAATATTAGGGTACCCCAAAAAGGGACCATAATTTTGACAACCACCCACACAAATTTTCAGCTCCTAAACCT